CTCAGTCTTCTCCACAATAGAAGGTAACACTGACCTATTTCACAGGAATTTTACAGAATTACTGAAATACTGCAAATCTCATACTGCATATAGGCAAGAACTTTGGCTATTGACTGGTGAAGAAATGTATTAAATTGAGTGAAGTAACAACATGCAATATTTGCTATACAATGCCATTAAACCACACTTTCCCCTTATAATTTATTGGAAGGCATATATACCACAGAAACGTATGTACCTGACACACAGTATGGCAGGTGGGCTATGCTCAGCCCATACTTGGGTTGTAGCTTTATTTTACATGCCCCCCATGCCAAAATCTTGTACTAGTTGTCACCATAAGGACAAGTGAGAGACATACACATAAACTTCCAGACCCAATTACAGAGCAGAGAGAATGGTATGGATTAGAAGATGGAGGACAGAGCAAGAAAGACAGTATATAAATAGGTATCTCAAAGATGCTCCCCATCCCACATATTCCTCACTTTCTTGATATTTTTGGGAGAGGAACAGTGAGAAGTGGTGACAGTCCTAAAACAGAGTGAGGTGGCTTGGGCCCTACTAAAACCTGAAAGTCAAAAACTCCAGCACTATAGTTTCAGCATATAGCTTGTAGAGAAATGCAGCCTGCAACAAGTGAGCATTTCCTGAATTTTTAATGACTACATTTCTTCTGAGAATGCATAGAGACCCTGAACCTGTTATTACAATTGCTCTTACAAAGTATGCTCTTTGGTCATACTTAGTTATAAATCAACAGCTTTACCTACATTCTCGACACATCACAAAGCTATTATCTAATGCCAGAGCCAAGAAAAATGAAGCATATTTGAATACATAGCCTAGGGTTTTTTTAAACCATACTATTACAAAATACTGGACTTGTAAGAAAAAAAAATGAATTGCCTTTAGTTCATGATAATCTATAGCTCTGTCTTTATCTGTGTCAAACAATTCAAAAGCATCTTTAATTTCTTGCTTCTGTTCTTCGGTTAACTCTCTTCTCTTCTTTCTCTTGGTTTTTTCAACAGAAAATTCAGCTCTAGAACATAAAGAGCAAGACAACAAATATACATTCCATTACAGAAATTAGCAAATGCTTTTAATCATCAATTTACAAGCAATTTTTAGTTACAGAGCAAATCTTTGTGCATAGGTATTATCATTTTGATGATGAAATCAACTGAGCAAGCAAAGCCTTAGCTACCAAAATTCTTTCCTGTTCTTTGTTTCCTGTCTGTCCACGTATCCCTTTTTCCTTTTTTTTATGCTTCCCACTGAGAGTACCTTGTATCAATTATGCCAAATGTATTTCAAGATGAAAAAAATGAAGATACTCTGTACATACAGACATTGTGAATACATGTTATTTTTGTAGTGTTTTTGTGGTGGTGGTGGTGGGGGGGTCCTTACCACAACATGATTAGTCATGTTTAAAGTATTCTGGATATTCTTTGTCTATCAAAAACAATAAAAATAGGACAAAATATTATATTAAAAGGACTCTGGCATTCCTAAGTGTTACTAATGCTCCTAAAGTATCTTAATGAAGAAAGTCTGATAGCTCGAATGGTACTGATGTTTGTATCTGCGGAAAAATAGAAAAGCTCCCTTATCAACAGACCATTGATCTATATAGTGTAATATATTTATTTATTTACATTTATTAAGCATATAGTCTATGCTGAGCAGCAGCAGGCCTCTGGTATTACAGACGGGTCTTTCCCAGCCCTTCCCGGAGACAACTAGGTCATTCTCAGCGTGTACATACGTTTCTACCACGGATTTGTGGCGCTGTGTATTATACTGGCTTCCCCATCCTACCGCTGATAAATACCTCACCAGCAACCATTTTCTTCCGATGATAAGGATGACCTGAAGACCACCAATAGTATAGTTCAAAGGCAAGAGTAAATCACTCTCTGCATAAGCGCAATTGATCCGCCAGTGTTTATTCTACTGCATACCGCAGTTTGTCTCGGCCATTCAAGCCTTTAAGGTATACCAAGCTGATGTCTATTTATGTTTAGATTGCGTTATTTGATTTATTAGGTTGCTTAAGGGCTGTGTTTTACTACTGGTATTTTATGTTTTAATTTACGTTTGCAGACCGCCTTGAGGGCCTAAGTGGCAGAAAAGCAAGACACAAACAACACTGAAAACAAAAACGATCCCGACTTTTCTAAAAGTTAAAGGCGGTAATCGACAAGGACAACCTCGAAGCCCGGGACAAATCTGAAAAGGCTCCTCAGGACTCAGCCAGAGGTCAAAAATATGCCGCGAGAGGAAGCAGTCCTGATGGGGGAGCGGGCAGCCAGCTCGCGCGTGAACCCAGCGCGCGCTGCGGTAGATATCGCGACAAACGATTCAAAAGGGGGAAAACGTTGCGTTACCATAGCAACAAGAAGCGAGCTCATTATCTCGCTCTTTCCCGCCCACTCGTCTCCCTCCGCCCCGGTCCATACCAACCTCGACACCAAATTCATTCTCCTGGCCCACCCCTTAAACCGGACACCAGGCGGGGGTTGGGGAATATCGTCTCTACTATTTTGACTACCGGCACCCGGAATCAGAGACGTAACAACAGCCTTCCCTCGAAAGCGGGACGCAAAACCCTTCCTTCGGCCAACAACGCTCCTTCCCTCTTCAAATTTCAGCTATAATTGGACGTTGAGACGTACACTTCCCACCTCTCTCTGTTGAGAGAGTCCTGACTGGCTAACCAACTTGTCAATCAAATAGCCAACGTCCCCTCCCAAACTCCCCTTAAAAATTAGTGTGTACGCGCCAACGTTACCCAGAAGGTAGCACGGCTGAGACGTCACAGTGAAGCTAGAATTCGGGGAGGGGGAGAAGCGGGCCGCGCTGACTGTTGACGTTTACGGATCTTGCTTTCTCCAAATCTTATTGGTCGAGGCGCCAAAATGTCCCCGCCCAGCAACGTCGATCAAAGCGGTATGTAAAGTCGATGCCAGCGAGGGCCGTTCTTGGTTCCGCGCCGCCCTCTTAAAGCAAGGAAGGGTCTCTGCAGTTTAGAAGGCCAAGATAGAAACCTATGGTATTAATGGTCAAGGCAACTGTGTATGATCAGCGGAATCTAATGACAAAGTTTTTCTTAAATTCTACCGGATAATGCTGCAGATGGGGGTTAGTTCACGTTTGAGTAGCGCCAAATAATCGCACGTAGAAAACGAGAGCATCAAGAACTCCAGAACGTTGTTTTCTATGTGAAACTACCTCCGAACATATAATTCTCACGTCCCAATTTGCAATGGCTCTATCCAGTTAAAACTTTACACGCTGTATAATAACTGGTTCTTAGTTTATTTCGTGTGTCGCTGTTTCCTTCGTGCAGCTGTCCTGGTATTTCCTCCCCCTTGCTCAACCCTGTATGGAGAGAACAAAAGGGTTTCTGCTCTTTTCCTAAGTTCTAAATAAAATTCAATACGTTATGCCAAACTTTCATTCAAAATGTACCTGTCATCGGGACCTTGGTGATTGTCTACACTACTAAATGTAACACATAATACAAACTAAAATTAAAAAGATAATATCTCTATGCTTTGCCTGCATTTTTGTCGGGGGTTCATATTAGTAGTCACCTATACATATGCTTAGGATTGCAACCTCCATTATCTTTTCTGCTTCTGCCCAAATATACCCATAACCCCTAAATTTGACCTGAGGTAACTTTAAAACAATAATCACAAATATTCAGCTTATCATATTTGTATGTCTGAAACTAAACCAGCAGATGGCGTCCCTTTAAACGTTTACCGTATGAATAAAATTAATGTTATTTACTCTTTTTATACTTGTATTTTTCTCCTAGAAAAAAGTTGTCTCTGGACAACCAAAGATGTATTGAAGACAAGCAAGTCAGCATTTTCATTCATCAGAAGTACTATTTTGTAAGCCACCAAAACATTTAAGAGAAATCGAATTCTGTGAGTTCTTGAACTCTGAAAACATCATTCCTTGCATGTGTGCGTGCATGTAGTTGTACTGGGTAGTATCCAATGCTATCTCCATGCTAGTTGTAAGGATGCTAAGCTAGTGTAAACTACTGTTTAATATAATTAGCAAACATCTTTAACTGTACAATCTAGCATTCTAAAAGCCTTCTGTAATTCAAGCTAGGCACAACTTCTTTTGCACTGTGACATTACATACTGGGGCATCCTCTGTGTTTAAACAAATGTCTCCACATACACTCCCTAAACAAACCAAAACCAAAACCAACTGAACAAATGAGCTGAGGATAAGTAGGAAGAATCTAGAGGCAAAAGATAAGTGTATGTGTGAGAACATGAGCTCTGGGAAGCCCTGTCTCAGCCATCTCCTCATGGGAAAAAAGCACTTAGGCAAGGAATCATATCAGATAGGGGATGGTTATACCAACCTATTTTCAACCTTCAGGAATAATAAATGCTTTCAGCACACAAGAAAACCCTTTCAAAATACCATTAGTGTCTTTCACACTTCATAACTGATCTAGTCAAGATGAGGACAAAGAATAATTAATGATCAATTAGTCAATACATTTATAATAAACATGGTAAAAGCATTCTTTGGAACACACAATAAGATGTGAATTTAAATAGTCTTGCACACCCAGATGATCCCAAGTAATAATAGTTTATGCTTTCATTTTCATGAAGACTGCAGAAACTGTTCTCTTTCAGCTTTAAAAAAAACACAACACTATACATAATCACTACACAAAACTATCACAGCTGAAAATATGGATTAGATTTACATCAACATTTTGCAACATGGTACCCTCCAGATAGTTTGAGCAAAAATTCCCTTTAGCCCCAGCCAACTTGGTAAATGGACAGGAACCATGAGAATTGTAGTCTAAGAAAAAAAAACATGAGTACCAGGTTGTGGAAGTCAGTTTTACACTTTAAGAGTTTCTCAAGAGGAAACAAATATGTACTCTTTCCTATTTTAATAGGGTTGAAGATAAAAAGGAAATTATCACTAGAGAGCTGTTTTGTGTTACAATTCTTTTATTATCAATATTTATGATAAAATAATATACCATTTTCCTTGAAACAGTGGCATATGCTATTAGTAAAGTTTTATCAGTAGTGCAGTGTTACAACATTTTAAAAATTCCTTTAAAACTTGATCTTACAGCATAATTTTGACCCAGTTAAGTAAAAACAGTTGAACTGGTAATATACCCTTAACTCCAAGTGCTTTGTCTGAATTAGGTTATAATCTGGTTTTACACTATTAAAAGCAGACAAAAATCAAATCTGTAGGGTTGTCTGGATCTTCAGTAGTAAATGCCACACACTCCATAATATTTGAAGTGAAAATATATGATACATCTCAATGATTAAGGTCAAGAACTTTAATAACTTCAGAAATGCTTATGGTTTTAGAATATAAAAATAATTAAGACAATAAAATTAGATTATATAATAACAGTCACACTCTAGGATTGTACTTAACCAACACTAATTCAGCATTGCAGTGTGTCAAAGCTACAACTTGGACTGGCTGCATTCCTCAAAACACTAAAAAGGAATGTGGTTTCACTGAACAGAGAAGGATTTGCTTCTCAGCAAACGTAATTAAGTATCAGGATGTGAATTTCCTTCTCATCCAATTACATTTTCCAAGAACTACATATAGTAACTGATCTCAAGTAATGTAGTGTTTTGAGAAGTAATTTAGACAAAGCAGACATTCAGTCTAAAAATCAGGAGGTGACCTCTAGTAGCTGTTTGCTAGAGAAGCTGAAAGTAATATTTCAAATGCACAAACTCTGTCCTTTTATTTAAAACTAATCTTTGGCAACCCAAGTAGTCTTTAGCAGATTTTTTTTATCACAATAAGCAATCCACCAACTGTCAACAATCTAAGGCATTGGAGAAAAGAACTTTCATGGCATGGTGGAGAGGGGGGGAAAATAGGCAGTTCCATTTACTTGGGAAAATCCAGCTTTAGTGCCACAGCAGTGTTCCAGAACAAAATCACTTCATAGTTGTTCAATTCAAAAGGTCCACATTTCTGCAAAATCAACAAACAAGGCACTAGGAGTTTACAAAGGCCAGCCCCAAATGGGTTGCAAATCTTGGTTAAATAGGAGCAAGATTAGCCGTAGATGTGCTTTTAAAATGCTGTGGACACAAACATGGTCAACACAGGCCTCATTTGGGAAGGGAGGGATAGGATAAGAAGTGCAAAATCTGGCAACTCTCTTGGTCACAATTAAGGGCACAACCTTATGCATGTCTAAACAGAAAAAAAGTCCTACAACTCCCAGCATCCTTCAGCCAGCTAGGAGTTTTGGGTATTTTTTCTGTCTAAATATGCACAGAATTGTGCCTTAATAAGGTTATCACTGCACCACCTCTCAACTTGAAACAAGTTACAATTTACAAATTTTTATTCTAATTTTGATACTGCTGTTCCTAACACTTTAAGCTTACACTGTTGGGGGTGCATGTTGTCTTGGTATTTAAAGCTACTTATGGTTTTTGCTATTACAACCAATACTTCCAAAGCTAACTGCCAAACTAAAGCAACCTGCAACCTTAGATATTCATCCATGAATTTGGTGCGAACTCCACACAACATTATAGCCAAACAGAATTGCTAAATGCTATGCTGAATGGTCATTCACTGTCGGCTCTGATCTTTCTTTTTGTTCTGCTCCAGTCTACAACAGGAAATAGGCACTGTTAACATTTAAAGAAGTGACTACATCCATCTATCCACCCTTGAGACCTCTCAGGGCTAAAGTGCTGCATACAGTGGAGCTCAGACTCCATATATGCAGTGCTCTTTGATGTGGGGAAATACTGTGCAATTAAGTTCCGGAAGGATGAAAAACGTGTCTGATCATCGTAATCCTGAAACCATTCTGTTTTTGCAAGGGCCATTGTTAACATCCTTCCCACTGAGTTCCAAAGGATTAAGTTAGTTTCAGCTCCACAGCTACGGGATCCAAAATCCAGTTTCACACAAGGAAGTAGAAATGTTCCAGAGGGTTACATAGAATTTTTATATTGAAAAAGGCAAGGTTTCCATTCAGTTCCTTGAAAATGCATATCATGCAAAATGGAGATAAGAAAAGAGAAACAAAAGAGGAAGATGTCATTTGGAGTTGCTAAATTTTTATCTTAAGTCCAGCCCACACCTGTAATGTGCAATGGATGGCCAGGACTCAAAGAGGTGTTGCTTTTGTCAACCAACTACCACAAAATATCCTTTTGCAGTCTCCTGGGACCCACCAAATTCACAACTGTCCATCAAACGATTTGCCACTCACTAGAACTGAGGTGTTCCTCCAGCTGTTGCACTGAAGAAACCCAGATCCTTTAATCATCCTTGACTCAGTTTTTAAGTTACACACTCATACTTACACCATTAGTCACATTTAAAGAGCAAGCAATATACTTCAAATATTCACAAAAATGCCATTTGTTTGAGAAACAATAGCCAAATGCAACACACTACAAGAACATCAAGTATGACATAGTGCTTTATATCAACATTTGGTAATAAATGCAGTGTACATTCACCCCATACAATAAAAAATAAATTATTGGATATTATTAACTTAGTGCACCCAATGAGACAGTGGAATGTTTTAACTTTTCCCTCTCCACAAGTACTGCTCATAATAAATTTTGGCAATTTAAAATACACTTTCAACACAACTTCCTAACTCAAGATTGACACAAGTGCAAACCTTTTCATTTTAGCATATGTTATGTTTCAAAATGCTTGAAATACAAAACAATTTCTTTAGAACATCTCAACAGCATTCAACTTATGTGCAAACCTGCCTTGAAAAATAGAAGGAATGATAGGTAGCTATGGCACAGCTACTAGCTTATACAGATACTTTTAAAAAATAGAAATGAAGTAGATAAAAATAAGAATCTTTATGGCTTATCCGCCAGCTTTTCCTTTAAAGAAACTTATGCACACCATTGGGCTTTAAAATGGCACATTATTAGACATGCTATACTGTACTATGAAGTTGTTCTAGAATTCGTTGCGCGAAGTGCTAAACTTGCAATCGATCTCATAGCACAGGTGGAAACTTTGTGACAAACTCCAGCATTAGAGATGTAGTTAGAAGCCAAACGATAGAGCCGTTCGGCTCCAAATGTGTTGAAATGCCCTGGAAGGACTTTCTCCACAAGGCCCCTATTCACTAACTCTATGAGTCGCTGGCAGGTTTCAACGTAGTCATTTATCCGGCTGTAGGGAAGCCAGTCAATCATTGAGCCGTCATATACAACATCCCCACTGAACAGTATCTTCCTTTCTCTGTCATGCAAACAAATGCTTCCTCTTGAATGGCCAGGCATATGCATGACAGTGAGCTGTCTGTCACCAAGGCTGATCACATCCCCTACAAACAGAAGACAAAAAATGGGGAGGGGGTTGAATATTTGAAGTGATCTCCAGAAGAAGTGAAATGCCATTATTACAAAGATGTTACAGAGCTCAGCATTAGAAGTGTAACTGGAAGCCCACCATTCACAGACATTGCTGCTTCTACTGGTCCAGGACAGTCACAAGATGCACTTCTCAAACAATTTTCACACACTAATACCCAACATGGATTGGAACATAAATATTAAATTGGTTCAGCACTGAGTGGGGAATGCATGGAGAGGACCTATTAATTCAGGAACATTGAATTTCTTTCAGCCAATTCCATTTCAGAGAGGATCTTTGGACCCAGTCATGGGTGGAGTCAAGGGCAGAAAGGGTGGGGCCAAACTACCCCCAGTACTACCACATTGTAACCTGAAAGTCCCTTTAATAAATTACGGACAGTGTGTTTCAAGCTTTTGTAATGAGGAAAAGACTGTACACATGATGCGAAAGCACCAAATGATCAGAGACTGGGAAAGAGGGATGCAGCCACAAGAAAGAGTTTGAGACCATCTGAAGAACTTCCTTCTGAAGAGGCAGCAAACTTTATTAAGGCTGCAACTGTTAACAATATATAGGAAAACAAAGGCTGCTTATATAAAAAGCAGCCAGGAGAAAAGAGACCACTCTTTCCAAGAACAACATCATTATCAAGGAGATGGCATATTCCTATTCATTGACCAGAGAAGGAGCAGCTGGAGAAAGCTTGCTTTGCCTCCCTGTTCCAGAAAGACCACTCTGCTCCTGGGACTCCTGAGCTAAAGGGGGAGACACTGACCCAAAAGGAGGCCTCCATCACCAGCCAGGAGACCAAGGAAAGGTTGTACTCCTTGCTTCCCAGGAAGAACATAATGGTCTGACCCAATCCATAGTCTAGTTACATAGCAGCTACTCCAGTACTTTCTTTCCAACCCATCCCCTTTTCCTTTTGTATCATGCCTACTGGATTATGGGAGTCGTACCTTTTGTTGAACAGCAGAGGCAAGTAGGCACTTTATTTATTGTTAATAGTAACACTAAAAATAGGTGCAGTAAAAATAAAATCATCAGTGCAAGAAAGTGTAAAGTTAGGCACACTGGGATAACAAGAACAAATCTAGTCTTCAAGTATATGGTGATGGGGCCTGAATTAGCTGCAGTCATGCACAAAAGTGATGTTGGGGTCATGGAACAAGTGTCACCGAAAATACTGGCACAATACTGCAGCAGTGTGAAGGCAAATTCAGTGCCTAGAATGAGAATTCAAACTAATATACCAAATAGTGCTATCTCATTACAGGATCAAATACTGCATGTCAATACTGCTGCTGTAAATTCAGGAAGGATATTTACAGCATAGCTGGAGATGGTAAAAAAAGGTTAAACTAAGTTGGACAACATACATTAATTTTAAAAGGTTTCATTATGACAGGAAAGTGATCATGTCCACTAGCATAGATGATTTTAAAATAGATTGGCCAAATAGGGTGGGTCTGCCTTCCCTATAGATTTCTCTGTGGAGTAATCTGTTGTAGGCAACAAGTAGTGAACAACTAGCTTCATTGTTTTCTGTTCTGTGGTGCAACAAGGAGTTTACAGGTGCAGGGTTGATTCTGGTACTCTGCTTTGTGTTTCATTGCTGTATCCACCTGCTCCTATTCCCCTTTTCCTTTCTGTATCCCTCTCCCTTCTTCTTAATACTTTAATATACTCTATGTACTTTGATTCATTCTTTGGGTGAGTCATGGTGCCTTAGCTGCAGGGCTGGAATTGATTTTTGGAACAGCATCCTTGAATTACAGGAAAGCAGAGAAGGGGTGTTCTCTGGCTTAATGTTACATGTCTGCTTCCAGGCCCAATTCAAGTTGCTGGTTTTAACCTATAAGGTCTTACAAGGCTTGGGACTGAAATACCTGTCAGAGTGCCTCTCCCAACTACGCAGACACTGTGCTCAACCTCTGAGGTGTCCCTCCAAGTGCCCAAACCAAGGAAGGCTTGGAGGGCTGCAACAAGGCAACAGAGAGGACTTTCTGATGGTCCTCCATCTTTGGAACAACCTCACTATTGCAACCTGCCTGGTGCCAAACCTGCCATCTTTTCGATGCCAGGTTATGGCAGCCCTTTATGTTGAGGTCTTGAAAGGTCTACTTGGTTACCCAGGAGCCTGGGTGAGTTATCTTTTCCTTTGCATGGTCATTTTTGCTGTATTTTTAAGCTATTTAAAATTCATTTTAATGTTGCTTTGTTTTTATGTTTGTATTGTATTGCATTGTTTTGTTTTGTTTCATGCACTGTTGTAAACTGCCCAGAGATCTTTGGCTATGGGGAGGTATAGAAATGAAATAAATAAAATCAATGACTAATACAGTGTTTCCAAAAATTCAAGAGATTCCTCAGCAATTGAAACATGAAATGGTAGGGAGCGTACTACATGATGCCTTAGTGCTTCTGCACATGCATTTGTACAGCTATGTTGTTGTTGTTATTGTTGGTGCTGTTAGTTGTGAAGTCGTGTCTGACCCATCGCGACCCCATGGACAACATTCCTCCAGGCCTGCCTGTCCTCCACCATCCCCTGGAGTCCACTTAAGCTCACGCCGACTGCTTCAGTGACTCCATCTAGCCACCTCACCCTCTGCCGTCCCCTTCTTCTTTTGCCATCTATTGTTCCCAGCATTAGGCTCTTCTCCAGGGAGTTCTTCCTTCTCATTAGGTGGCCAAAGTATTTGAGTTTCATCTTCATTATCTGGCCTTCTAAAGAGCAGTCAGGGTTGATCTCCTCTAGGACTGACCAGTTTGATCGCCTTGCAGTCCAAGGGACTAACAGGAGTCTTCTCTAGCACCACAATTCAAAGGCCTCGATTCTTCAGCGCTCAGCCTTCCTTATGGTCCAGCTTTCACAGCCATACATTACAACTGGGAAAACCATAGCCTTGACTATACACACTTTTGTTGGCAGGGTAATGTTTCTGCTTTTTAGTATGCTGTCTAGATTTGCCATAGCTTTCCTCCCCAGGAGCAAGTGTCTCTTAATTTCTTGGCTGCAGTCCCTGTCTGCGGTGATCTTGGAACCCAGGAAAATAAAATCTGTCCCTACCTCCATTTCTTCCCCATCTATTTGCCAGAAAGTGAGAGGACCGGATGCCATGATCTTAGTTTTCTTAATGTTGAGTTTCAAGCCAACTTTTGCACTCTCCTCCTTCACCCACATCAAGAGGCTCTTTAGTTCCTCTTCACTTTCTGCCATTAGAGTGGTATCATCTAAATATCTGAGGTTGTTGATATTTCTCCCGGCAATCTTAATTCCAACTGGTGATTCATCTAGCCCCACCTTTCTCATGATGTGCTCTGCATATAAGTTAAATAGGCAGGGCGACAGTATACAGTCTTGCCGAACTCCTTTCCCAATTTTGAATCAATCAGTGGTTCCGTGTCCAGTTCTCACTGTTGCTTCTTGACCCGCATATAGGTTTCTCAAGAGACAAGTAAGATGGTCTGGTACTCCCATCTCTTTAAGAACTTGCCACAATTTGTTGTGATCCACACAATCAAAGGCTTTAGCATAGTCAATAAAGCAGAAGTAGATGTTTTTCTGGAACTCCATGATCCAGCGTATGTTGGCAATTTGATCTCTAGTTTCTCTGCCTCTTCGAAATCCTGCCTGTACTTCTCGTAGTTCTCGGTCCACATACTGCTGGAACCTAGCTTGTAGGATTTTGAGCATAACTTTGCTAGCATGTGAAATGTACTGGAGATAAAATAGATTCATTCCCCACTAAAATCTCTCAGCCACAAATCTCTTCCAGCGATGAGCTCTAAAAGAATAGGAACACCAGAAATGTTGGCTAACAAAATGCTAACAAGGCATCCCCCAAAAGTCAAAAATTAGAAAAAGTAATGTTCAAGGAACAGAGAGCACATTGGCCGAGGGGCTGGGGCTCGTTTCTGTCTAAATGAGCATAATGCTGCACCCTTATGAACTTAAAGGCCTATGCCACATTTTTAAAAGCTATCCCATCAATTTAGAGCCTAACAAATGGGCTTTTCCTTTCACATCAGGGTGGGCAATCTGCAACGTACAGCATAATTTCCAAGGGCTTCTGCAAACAATCTGTTCAAATCCCCAGCAAGAGCAATCTGTCTCTCTCCAAGCATTCTACTGTGTAGAAAAACGAAATCACAAAAAGTTGGAAGCCTTCATTTTTGGCTGAGCCATTCACTGCTGGCAGACAAGCACCATCATAGTCATCCCAAGGGAACACAGACCTCAGTAGGAAAAAAAATATCTACCTCCTCTCTGTGGTACACTATAATGGAGCTTTGGCGGGTTAGGATCATGAGGTGGGTGGAAATGGAACCTGGGAGAACTTGGTTTGGGTGGGGAAAACTGGTAGGATTGACAGCTTTGTGTAAGATTGAAACTCTCACGAGTCCTGAGATACTTTTTCCTTAAAATGAAAAGCCAGTTCATAACTAGGCAGAGTTAGACAATCCTATTGCTTCTTCCGTACAATGATCACAGCTCTAACTCAAAAGGAGACAAGGGTCGGAAGTACTCCATTTTTCTTCTTAAGGCAAGGAGGAAGCAAAGTCCTATCTGTATGAACCTTCCCGGTACACACAATCATATGAGGGCCTCACATATCATAAGAGAATTGGAAAATGGCAACAAAGGAGAATGCCTTTTCAGAGATGCCCCCCTCCATTAAAAATGCATTTTCAGCGAGGTCTGCCTCCCACCACCAAGCTTTGTACTAGGCTAATATTTTCTTCTACTCGCAGGCATTTGACAGCATATGATAAGGTGTACCAGTCCAAGGATGCTTATTTCTGATTATTTTAATTATTTCATTTATAAAAGGCTTTTATATTTATAGTTTATTGTTAAGATTTTAATCTTTTAAAACCACCTGGAGTTCTTTTACATTTGAGTGGTTCATAAACATAGTTTCCCTTATCAATCACAGCTGCACCTTGTTTCGCTGGCTAGAACAGGGGTACACCACCTTTTAGATTGTGACGGCCAAATCCAGTGTCAGCCAGAGCGCTTGATATGAGCATGCATGGCAACCCATCCTTTTACACATGTCAGTGCGCAGGGATGACTGGGGTAGGAGTGACAGGAGTTGCCTTATATTTCCAAGGGCTAGTAACAGCTTGCTTTAAAAAAAAAAGGGTGGGAGTGAGCTAGGAATCTGCACTGGGTGGTATGTCCAAAATCCAGCTAACCAGCCAATACAGCACCCCTACTGTCTGCAAGTCATTAAATTAACCAATCACTTCAGTTACAGAGACATAACCACATCAAGTTCAAATTTCCTTAGTTGACAATGGAAGTCTGTGAAGGAAAAATAGTACAGAACAAAACCAGCTTGCATTATAACATGAAAATTAATGAAGCATACAGATCCATTTGTCTTGTAATTTAACTATTGTGTCATCAGTTATTTAGAATAAATCTAATACTATTTTCTCTAAAAGGTAACATCAATAATTCATTCTAATAAATTGAATATTTTAGAGGAAGTTATTGCATAGCATTTCAGATGTTTCTGAACAAATACATTCTATTGTTTTATAGCCTTCTCTTTTCACTGTATGAGTAATAGTAATTGATATGGGATGAGCTACAGGATGAGACATTGAAGAATATACAGCATAAAGCAGAATGACGTAGGATTTCTACAAATCCAATTCTATTTCAGATCCACTTAATTTTGCAAATCTATGCAATCAAGCAAAATGCTGACAGAAAATCTCACAATAACTAAGTATACAAATGGTTTGATTTTCAATAAATTCAAACTACTACTGGTTGCTTGGACTTAATTTGAGAACATTTCCAGTACCTATTTGGTCTTAATAATCTCAGAGGGCATCTTTTAAGAACCTTAAGGCTTGTCAGAAGATTGTGTCTAGTATCAAATTTTTCAAAAACTTTATTCTGTACTACACAAATTATGAACTTACTGCCTTTGTTTTATATCCCACAAGCAGAGAGTAACAGAATTGTAACATAGAAACACAATAAATTGTTCAGATGTAATGGTGATATCTGGCCAGCAATCACATATTAATTTTAAGCCTGGTAGGATACATGAGGTACCCAAGCTGGTTCCTGTTTACATTAACTACTTTTGAGGGTTGCTTCCATTGTACCCAAAAAAGCACTTTGGGTTGTTTGTCAGTTAAACTGGGAGTTGTTTAATCCTCATTAAGTCCAACATATCCCTGTTCGAATATCATGGAAACAACCCTCAAAGGTGGCATTACAGGACTGTCAATGCAACAGGAAAAAGCTTGGACACAGTTCATATCCCTGTAGTTTGTGGGGTATTTAATTAGATGTATGTCCTGTCTTCTTTCTTTTTTAAAGAATTCAAAGGGGCTTACATATTTCGCCCTCCTGCTCTCAATCTTATCCCAACAACAACAATCCTGTGAGGTAGGTTGGGGTGAGATTCTGTGACTGGCTGTGACTAGAATCCAGGCCACCTGAGCTGCAGCCCAGCACTCTTCACCATTACACCATACTGGTTCTAAAAGTTTAACCAATGAACTACCTCCAATTGCTGCTATTATGTCCAGACAGGGTCAATGGATGGAAAAGACGCAAGAACATGAAAATATTGATGCAAATGGCATATGTACAATTACATTCTCACTGATATATTCATGCTCTTGTAGTTTTCCCAGTCACTGTACTTTCTTTCCATTTTAAATTCTTCAGTAATTTATTTTATTATTTAAATGTGTATGTCTCTCAATTTTCTTGTGTTTTTATAATATCAGTTTAGCCTGTGATTAACAGCCTTAATGTAGCTGAACCCTTCACACAGGCAAATAGAAATACCTATTAAGAAACCTTAATCAGATTTATCATGCCAAATTCTCAACACAAATCATTTTAAAGAGGAAACCAAAGTTTGAAAATCAGCTTTTCGTACAATTTCTAGACAGAGTCCTACATGCAAAGGTTGACAAGTAAGTCAATTGCATTCAAGCATGTTAAAGCAGTTTTGTATGTACATTTCAGGAGTTAGGAAGTTAGAAATAAGCTTCCTTGCTGTACACTTCTAGCTTGCTCCTCACCTCCTCCCCTTGAATTTGGAATTAGTTTTGTTTAAACCAGCATTCACTTTTGCACTAGAAATGCTGAACAATATACTCTGGTATATTATTAGTAACCTAATCAGGATATTAAGCCAGGATCTGTTCTGATCTTGGCTAGATATCTGTTGAGCTATCCAACATTAAACCAGAGTTCCCATTCAAATGCAAGAAATAACTTTAGTTTAAAATGAACAAGGACCACAGGGCTAAAGCTAGTGTGTATTAGGAAGAGAAAGTACTGGCAGGAGGCTGGACCTGATGGCCTTCTTGTCTATCCGATGGCCTTCCAACTCTACTGTTCTATGATTTTATGAGGAGTGGGTGGGTAGTCCTGATGCTTGTTCACAGCCATGGGTTAGGAATACATTTAAAATGTATGTCCAAAATGGGAAACTGCATTTTAACTCTTGTTAAGCTGTTGTCTGGGTTGTTTTTAAAAAGATAACTCACAAATAAGCCCCATTAATTTCAACGACACTTCCTTCAAAGTAAATCAATTTGTCTAAGGTAATGAACTTGTGCTCTCAGGATGTAAAATGACCACAGGTAACTAACTTGGGAAAAGCTTATTAAGAACCCCACAGGAATGATGTGCTCCTTCTGGAAATATGAATACATGGGATTCTGATGCCATACCTCACATTGATATCTTAATGAAATGCTCTTGTTGGACCACTGCTCTGTCCTTTCTGTAAGCAATGAGGCAAAGTGCCACCTGATGCCATTCCCGGCAAGCTTACCACTTCTGGGAATGCCACCGCCCCAATGATGAACAAATACTCAGATTCCAATTTCAGCACACTGGATCTGAAAAGATTATTATTTTTCTTCACAGAAATTGCAAGTAATGGCTTGCTCTGAACTACGCTCAAACATCATCTGCCTGGCACTTAATAGTTAATCAGGATGAATGGTCACCAAATCTATCGACTTAAATTCCCTGAACAGACACTGTTGCTCAGGCCTTACGCCAGCACTCAGCTGCACACATGAAAGCAATAGGAAACACACTTTCCAGAGAATAGGCTCTACTGGACACAGAAGACCTTACTACATCTTGAATAAGCATGCATAGGATGGTACTATTAGATTGTTAACCGAGAATGTTACTTTTGGGTGGTATTTAAAGAATATGCTTTGTATGACTTTTCTTTCCTAGTCACTGAAGTCTTTTTTAAATAATAGCTCTGTAGAAAGGGCTGAGACATGCCAACTGATAATAAATGCTCCATGAAGATAAATAAGGGATGTTTGCTCTCGAACAACAGCGATTCAAAATTTAGTATGTAAAAATGAATAAAATAAGCCATGCCGCACAAATCCTGCAATGCTGTCCCCAGTGTACATGGCTACTATTATGTGCAATGTTTGATGGCTAGGCTTGTAATTGTTACTGAGGATTTGTTTTTCAAAACTCATTATGTACACTAATAACCTCTCAGCAAAACTGAGACCTGAGGTATTTGCAGGGGCAGGGAGAATTGTTTTACTATTTATTAAATGAATGAAATCTCTTAGCTACATGTTGTATACGCATGTACCAGTTTAAGACTTCACTTCTTAGCATCCATTCTTCTGATGTCCCCACCCATACTCATTCATCCACAGACATTCACACTGCATGTCCATGTAGGCATGCCCGTTAAGAAAGAGGCAGTCCACCTGGGTGCAGCATGCCTGCATCTAGCAAGATTCTCTCTTCTAACCCCTGCATACATATGCTTTATCTCTGAAGGATAATACGCCACACACACAAAATACAAAAAGTGCGAGTGCAAGGTCCTTGATGGAAGGTGCATCTTATTTTTGCTTTTCTTTTGAAGATAGGCACACAATTTATGGAGCTCTGTTGCCATGCTCATTTCTATATCGTGTTTTTTTTTTTTTTTATGTAAGATGTCCTTTATACATTTCCCTTTCCTGCTACCTCCATGGAGTCTCTAAGCCTATCAACAATGCTATTCACTTTCACAGCATGCAGAATGTCAGATCCTGGGGAATTGCCTCTGCATGCTCATGAGTTGCTGAGGCCATCCAAGGAATATCACACCACTCTCTCCCTATCAGACAGGATCATAAGGACACTTAAAATTCCCATCGCTTTACATATTCCCTTGAAAAGTAGAGCAATACGCCCTCCCCAGCAAACCCACAATAGACAGTAATGGGTTATGCATTTCATAGCCTAGAAATACCGGGGCCCAAGTGTGTATCCACCACCAGCAAATATTTACACAGCAGCTGTATTAATACTGGTAATATTATGTATGAAACATTCTATTAGATTAAACATGCTATTAAGTATACTAATAAGTCAAAATATGAAATACTGGTGTATGGTAAGTTAATATATTATGTAAACATTCGTCAAACGCAGAAATCACGTTCGCTGCAGTAACAGCAAGCTCTAGCAGCCCACCCTTCGCAGGTCATTATAAACAGGAGGTGCCCTGTAGGGGGTGCACTTCAGATGTGTTAGCCACGCCTGCTGTTGGGAGATGGTGGGAGCTGTAATCCAACACATCTGTAGGGCGCCAGGCTGAGGAAGACCTGCTTTGGGATGAAGCTGATTAGTAACATTTGCAAAACCGAACGTACTGCTGGAAAGTACGCCCGCAAACCCCTCCCTCAAACCCCAGTGCTGGCTTTAGAAAAACTTGCGCTGCGCATAGCCCGGGACACTCTTTAGCACTAAGTCACGCGACGTCGAGAATCTGCCATTCAAAGGTGGCTCAAGAAGCGAGCCGGCGGGGAGGGACTGGGCGGGCCCGTCTCGTCCAGCCGATCGCTCTAGGCCGGCTCAGCACCTCCCGCGTCGCTTACCCTCCTGCAAGATGTGTGTCGGCTGGACGGGCCGTACTCGGAACTGCCTGGCGGTCCAGCCAGGGCTGGGCTGGCGCACCACCTCGCTGTCAGAGAGCCAAGTGACGGCCTCGTAGTTGTCGCCGCGCCGCAGGGCTGCGGCCTCGGCGCTGTGCACGGCCACCTCCTCAAACTGGTGCAGCCCACCCGAGTGGTCGAAGTGGACATGGGTGGCCACGGCAAGCAAAGGCCGCCGCCCGCTGCCCGCCGGCTCCTTCTCGCCGCGCCGGTGGTCCTCGTCGCCGCCCAAGGCCGGTTCGGGGCTCAGAAGCCCAGCCAACTGAAGGTAGTCGGGCAGGCTGCGCAGCCCCAGCCCCGTGTCGATCACCACGTCCCGCTGCGAGCCGCGCACCAGCCAGATGTTGGCCCGGTTGCCCGACTCGTAGAACCTCTCCTGGATCCAATAGATGCCTCCGCCCAGGGACTTGTGAGCGAACCACTCCAGCGCCGACATCGCCGCTGCCGGCCAGAAGGATCCCGCTTGCAGCAATTGGACGTGACGGCAGCCTGCCCCTCTGCGCGCACACAGCGCGGACGCGCAGCTACAACAGACCTGGGTAGGACGAGTCACGAAGGCGAGGGGAGCTGGAGGAGGAGCCGGAGCCGGGAAACGAGGCGGGGACGGAGCCGCCGAAGCTAGATGCACTGAGCGTAGCGGGAGATCTCCGCCCCGTCCTTGCCCACTGCGGTAGCGCGTCACAGGGAACGAAAGGAGCGGGCTTGGCTTAAGTTGGGAATGCGGCTGCACGTGGAGAGTTCGAGCTTGGGCTGACCGGGGTGAGGTTGCAGCTGTGCAACAGAGGAAGCTGCAAAGGATCCTTGGCTGTTCGTGTTGCTGTTTTTTAAAGACGCGAATTTTATGCTTGCTGTGCGGCTGAATAGCTTTATTTCCCCATGCGCCTCTGGGAAGGACGGAAAGAGGGTGGTTTGCACGTGCGGATATTTCTTTTGGAGGGCGATTTGGGTGAAGACTGCAGTCGGAGTCCCGTATGCAACCTAACTGCCCTTGCTTTGGTTTGGTTTTGCACCCGAGCTGTGCCCAAGGAAGCAGCAATGTTTGCCTCTTTTGTTTTGTTTCTCGAAGTTTTCAGGGGGCGAGGAGCGGTCGCATCTTGACTCTTAAATGTGCACGCGAGCACGCGAAATGCCCGTGCAAGAGTTCCTTTCCCGTATAGCCGCCTGCTATGTGCAGATAGTAAATATTGCTGGGTGAGTCGCAGCTGCTCTGTAACCTGATGGGCTGTAAGATAAAACATGCATATTTTTTTGTTTTGTCTGGAAAGTGTAATTGTGTAAATTTAGTAATGTACAGTAGACAGAGAGGAGGCCTCAACCATGTGTGAAGAGAAGCGGGAGGGCCCTCGCTAGGCATAATTGGACAAGGTGGAAAGTGATATGCACAAAAATATATTGCTTTTCCTCTGTGCCCTATTGGAGAATATGAGGCCCTGTCAAACAAACAGAGTTTATAAATGAGTAACAGTGCGATCCTATAAGGGTATATTCATAAGAGTAGCTCAATTTCTGCTTCTGCAGATGGTTTTGGAGCTGCTCTTTCATCTTTTAAAAGGGGCGTGGTTTCAGCTTCTGCAGTGACACATCAAGGAGGTGCCATTTTGCATTTTCCAATCTTTTAGTTAGCATTAAAATGCTTTTCTCGCTATGTTGTCTTTAAAATACTAAGACACTTAGGAAGTAAAAGAAAAGCAAAAGAGCATTACAGTGCGATTTAAAAAAAAAGTTTAAAAACTTGGTCTCCATGGATTTTTATCTAGGGGTGTTGGAGAAATTCACAAAGGAATCAAATGAATCCAGATATTTATGAATCCAACTCATGATTTCAAAGCAAGTAACATTTTTCTGAGTCATGTAGTTCAATGGACTTTTGAACCATATTTTCACTTTCAGGGAAGATTTGCAGTAATTTGATTAGCACATTTGTGCTAGTGAGCCTATCAACATTAATGAGCATTTGTGCAAGTAGAGCAAATTCTGTTTTACGAAGTCCAGTTCTGTTAATGAGGGGATGATGGGTTGCAAGAGGAATGCAAGAAAGTAATACTTGAATTGTGCTGAAACATTAAGAAAGGGGATGAAGGTTTTGACTGACTGACTATGCATGTTTAGAAAGAAAATCCTACAGCTGGCTAGGACATGCTAGGAATTATAGAACTTTTTCTGTCTAACCTTATATAGGACTGCACCCTAGTTCAATTTTCCTGTTCAGTGTTGCCCAGTATTTGTGAGCAGAGGAGTCAGATAGTAAGTGTTGAAACATTGCCAACATAAAAGGGTCTGTTTTAACCATGTGCAGAACTGTAACCTTAAGGAAAGTAGATTAGAAGGCAAACAGTGATATTCAATTAATTATACAGGTCAGCAAATCCAGGTTTATTGTTCAGGTGTAAACATGTTCCTTGGTCAGAACTTCAGTAATACTTGTTTTTAAATCAGTCTGCTGAGGATAATTTCCTTAATCCCCAGTATGTAGCTTGGAGGAATGCTCTTTTGATGAAATCACTGGGACTTATTTCCTGTCCTGCATCAAAAATATGTGTGACAATAAGATATTGGCTCGCTTGAGATAATGTGTCATTGTGTGACATGTGATGGTTTGCATTAAAAAAGGAGTCCCAGATAGCGATAGAATAAATGGCTCGTAAAAATAAAAGCGAAAGAAACCAGCATGCACATTCTTGGTTCTATTTTTGTTTGGGTTTTTAGTGCATAGGGCTGGCTTGATAACTAGTGGGAAGTGTGCATGTATGTTATTTAAAGCAACTTGTTGTGGTATCTTACCTGTTAAGGTGCTTTTAGAAACAACCTTTCAGTTAATGAAAGTTGTTCTTTTCAGTAATTCAAAATGGCCCGCTCAGGCCGAGGAAGGGGGCGTGCTTCCTTGACCTTCAACATTGAAGTGATTGGCTTTGGTAGAGGTGAAGCACTCCCTGAAGCAGTATTCCAGCCGCCTCCACTATATCCTGTAAGTATATGGCCAGAATCCCAAACCACACTGTGCCATTGGAGTGGTGTATTGCACATGCATGCCACAATTTATCATTTTCAGCTGCTTAACAGGCCTTGTGGTTTAATATGTGTAAGCTATTGTAGCTTTTTAAATGGGGTTTAAATTTGGCTTTTAAATTCTCTATTGTAATTTTTTGGGCTGTTGTAAACCACCTAAAGAGGTTCAGCTATTGGGTAGTATGAAATAATAATAATCATAATGAGTTATTATTATTATTTAAACAGTGAGGAAGTGTCCAGAGTCTGTCCATGTTAAATTAGTACTGGAAAACAGTAGGCCACATCCATAGCCAGATGACTTGTGGATATAATGGGGAACTCAAAGGTACTCTGTGAAGCTAGTGCAGATTAGCACAAAAGTGAACAAATCCTAAGTGGAGTTAGTTGAGTATATTTCATGATGTTTCATCCTATGAAACAATCTTTAATTCAATCAAAACAGTGTAAAAGCTTTTTTTCAGGCATTCAAGTGCCTTTGCATTCATTAATCAGAATTTTGGAATTTGTGCAAAATAATTTCTTGGTGTGATTTGGGTAAAAACTAACTGCATATTTTTACTTGTGCCCTTCCATGAGTAAAAGAGATTTGCCCATCAACGTCCCTTAATGTTAAAAGCTGAAAAATCAAGGAAAAATCTGGAATACCTTGCACAGGGGTTGGGAAGAGGCTTTAGAACAGCCATCCTCAAGAAGGTATCCTCCAGAAGCATTGAACAACTACACTCATTGCATCCAGAGACAGCATAATGGGTGTTTTAGTCCAATGCCTGTGGAGGGTCCTGGTTGAGGAAGGCTGTCTTAGAACATGAAGGCTTCTTTATTTTGATTCTAGAAAGGCAGCAATAATTCTTTCTGTATTGTGTTCAGTACAAGGATGTGACACATCCACTAAATGCAGCATAGAGGGGATTGCTACACAATGCTTCTCACAACAGGACAGCCCACCAAGGATGCAGTGTGTTCCTATTATACAAGCTGGCTGAGAGATCAGGGCCCCTTGCCTGTTTCCTGATGTATATAAAGCTCCATGCAAAACAGAGACAGTCATTAGTCTATTCAAAATGTATTTTTCCCATTTTCCAATTTCCTGTTCAGTAGGCCTCTGCAGGACACACAGAATAGAGATTACTTTTTCAGGATAATCTCCCTTTCCCAAAGAATGCAAGGAGCATCTTTCCCACCCATCCACATTCACCACGATCACTAGCAATTGATAGCTTTATTTATTCAGATCATTTCTATCACCTTGGTCAGTCAGACTTCTTCCACTGTAGTTGACAAGAATCAGTGGATAGTCACTGCCCTCTTAAAGGCCACTAGACACAGGGATGGTTTGCACAATCAAACAGCCCACCATGCCTTATTTAAGCTATGATGATGGTATGGGTAGGCGGCCATATTCAAACTAAAGCACTGCAAATACCATGGTTTAAATAAGCCTTGGACTGGTGAACATGTGAAGCAATTGTGAGGGAGAAGAAAAAAGCCTAGTGCTGAAGATTGATTTAATTTGATGGTGACTTCCTATCAATGCAGTAATGCTGATGTGAACATCAGGCAAAATCATTATCAGAATGAACATGGGTGGTTCATTGTACTGTTGTCTAGACAGACAGAGATCATGTCTGAACATTAGAACATGAGTCCCTCTAGCTCATTCAGAGAAGAACAATTTCTGTCACTAGTAACAGCCTCTGAGGGCCTGCAGGAAAAAAAATTCACAGCCCTTTTATTTGAAACAATACAAACATGCTGGGATTTGTACCCGGGACATATATTTCTTCACTGAGGTATGGGTTGTGCCTGGTTTAACTGGTCTTTCAAATAACTTGAATGATTGGATCTTCTGTAATGAAAGACAAAGAAGATGAACATGCATGATCCATACATATCTGTTGCTGTTTCCTCTGTGGTTTTGACCAGCTTCACATTACTAGAATGGGACAAATTCCTGCTGAGTAGCCAAATTAGTCTGTAATATGTTGGTGGTCTCACACCTTCAGGAGTATCAGATTCATTATGACATGAGCTTTTACAAGCTGTTTCTCCTTTAGCATATTCAATGGAGGTCAGTGTTGGACACACAAATAAAACTCCTGCCAAACCAAAGCACTAACAGAGCAATTCTACAGTTTGGCATGGAGAGAACCAACATCAGTGCCTTAGAAGAATCCAGAATTCAACCAACATGAGCCTGGCAGAGTGACAGAGAAGAGCAGCATTTCTGCTATTTTGTTTTTTGTTTTCTCCTCCACCTGGTCAATCTATAAAAAGGAGTATATCTTCCATTATTTTTAAGGTGAGGAAATCGATTCACATCAGGTGCTGGACTGCTATAGATTGGCAGATGGTTGGGAGGAAGTGTCTGGAGACAACCATTGTGGATTTGGAAGGTCCTTTAGATCCATGTTGTCTCCCAGAATGCCCCATTTTCCCACTTCTGGCACTGGAACTGGCCCCAAAAGGTTCAATGGCAGCTGGGCTGGTGTATCCAAGTGCAGGGTCGCTTAGTCCTCAGGGGCTAGATTTGCTGGGATACCCACCCAGGAACCATAGGATTGCAGCCTTACAGCATAATTCTTTCTATGATAACTTGGAAGACTCACCATGTTCAGTAGGTCTTGCTTCCATGTTATAACCAATATTTTAAAGTTAATTAATCTTAATGGTACTTTTATTTGTTTAATTCATTTTAACCATGTTATTTTATACTCATTCATGGTGTAGCCAATTTATTTATTTTAGGATTGGTGGGGTTTTAATGTTTGGATGGTGGAGGACAGGAAGGCCTGGAGGAATGTTGTCCATTGGGTCGCAATGGGTCGGACACAACTTCGCGACTAACAACAACAACAGAACCACCCAGAGAGCCCTCTGGGCTATTGGGGTGGTATATAAATGCAATAAAATAAATAAATAAATATTTGATGCTGGAGGATTTACTTCCCTAATTGTTTCATTTTTTCACTCATTTCACTCAACCAGCTTGCCGTTGGGCTTCTGCTATTAAAAAAAGAGCAAGGTCTTCGCTGCTGTGCTTTGACAATGATGAAATGTGTCATAGCTCTTTCTGTGCTTTAGCCTCTGGGTGCACCTGTCACTGCTCAAGAAACACCTTCTACTGATTTACATGTATACAGAGAGAAAGGAAGAGGAGAATTTCTAAAAACAGAGACCTAAAATGTAAAATTTAATTTGCAATTAAAGGAGTAGCAAACTATGGCTCTGATCCAGTTTGTATTTATTTGGTAGTGAATCTTTCTTCCAAATAAATGTGTGTCTTTGTGCTGCTGCAACACAGCAGTCCAAATCATACTTTCGTATTCTTTAAAGCAATATATTTTACTTTCTAAGCACAGTTACAATCAAGTTGCTAATACCTTTGTGTTGGGAGCAGGATTGCTTCTTCTCTCCATATCATTGCCCTGATCTGAGTTCCATTGTTTATTCAGCAGGGGTATGCAGACTGTCAGAAAACTGGTGGTTGGACCCCAGAACCATTCTTTGTGTATGAGCCTGGAAGGAAAAGAAAGACTAGGCTTCTTAACAAGTTTGCAGCTCAGGAGGAAATCTCTTTCACAGTCAGCTTCCACAGAGATATAACCTGCATAGGAAAGAGAGAATTATGAGATACAGCCTGCATACAACAGAAAGAATTCATCTCTGTACTACTACATTACCTTACAAAGTTTATAGTTCCTTTCAAATGTCACAGCAAACAACTTGTGCAGCTTCTATAGTGTGCAGATTTTTGCCTGAACCTACCAGTCAGATAGCATGTGGGTCCCAGGGCAACGCAGTCCCTGTGCTCTTGCTCTCACCATGCTTCTCAGCAGCCCCAGGAGCAAAATCTCCTTTCTTACTTGGCTGTTCCTTACGGACCTCAACAGCTTCATCTGAACTGGTCCACTGAGGTTTCAAAGCGGGTTCTCTCTCTTCCACCTCCCAAGCATACCTCCATCTTAGCAATGTTTCCTAGTCATTCCAGCCCCCAAAGGAATTTTTATTAAATCATAATATATATTTTTGCCATAATTCACCCCTTCTTCCTTCATGCATTTACCTGCTTTCTCTCTGTTTCTAAAGAAAATGGAGATGGTCACAACAGCCAGTAGGAATAATGTGAGTGGTGGCATATGTTGCTAGGGAACTGAGGGTAGTAGAGAGCTCCTGTGGCCACTCCTTTCATGGGACTCTATGGTATTTCCATATCAACAGTGGTAAAAAGGAAAACCCAGATGGGGACAACTAGAGAAGCTGTGGTGAAGCATGGAAACTTTAGAACATACCATTGATTATCTCCATGGTTTCAGGAAACCAGAAATGACATGACAAGGATATGAGGGGAGGGGGCAACTCTTGCACCATGCAAACTGTTCAGATGGATTTGCCCATTTCTGAGAGGGAAGAGCAGAGTTGGCCAGATGACTTGGTGATTTGAGGTTATCTAGTGAAGATTCTCAGGCAAAATGAGAACTAACCTGCCTTGGTAAAGGACGTTCAGAACTGGCGGAGGAGCAGATTGGGAGGGAGTTCCTTGACCTGTCAGGAGACAGCAGGCAAAATAAGTGGACCAGTTATGAATTGTCCAATGTTCCTGCTGCCTTACCCTCAAGCAGCAGGAGCTGTCCTGAGAGTAGAGTCAGAAGCTTTACTGAAAAGGAGGGAAGGGATGCTTCAGTTTTGATTCAACCCTTAACATGGCCAGATACTTCTCCCACACTTTGAATTAAACTGTTTTATAACCTGTTAAGCTCTAATAAAAGTATCTGCTGGAGAGAAAAGAGGGAGGGAGAGACCTGCTCATGACAAGGGGTAAGAAATCACCATGGCTTCTCATGTGCAGATGTGGCCAATATGATGTAGTCAGTGCTGGCCATCTGTAAGCAGAATGGAAACCACTGATAGATCAACTCCTGGTGCATCCAACACAACCCAAAATCTGTTCTAGACAGTGGAAAGGCTGTCTGGACCATTTTTGGTAGGTGTGAGTAACAGAGCAAGGGAAACTTTTGTTGCACAAGTCAAACTCTACTTGTGTGCTGTTAGGTTTAATCCGATGTAGTTAATTTCAAAGTAATTCTATCCCAGGTCATTTTGAGCAAAGTTTGAGTAGACAAAGACGCCTTCTCTTAAATGGTTAATTTTATAACCATTAGGATCTTAGATAATACTAAGGTGTTGTAAGTTCTGTGTGAAATTGTCTACCTTTTGCAAAGTGACTGTCCCTTTTGCAGAATTGGATGTTACTTATTTACTGGATTTCTAGCCTCCCTCATAAGCTACATGGTTATGCGGGGGGAATCAGTAGTCAAATTGTTGTTAGTTTTAGATCCCATTTACTGTTTAAGGCTATGTTTTTAAATACTCTTTTCATACTCCTTTTTCATATAAACCTTCGGAATTAAGTCACTATACCCTTGGCAGCTATCTTATTATATTGAGAGCGGATCTTCTGTTCCTACCTTCGGACTAGGCAAAAGAGCTGGCTGTTGGACAGTAGTAATACAAATTCCCAGTAATTAGCTTTCCCACTTGCTCTGTAGAAAACTTTCCCAGGGTTGTGTCCTGTAGATGTCTTGAACCATAGCCCCGTAATTCCTAACCATTGGCCATGTTAATTGGGATTGATGGGAATGGTAGTCCAAAATATCCGAAGGGCACCACTGTGGAGGAGATTGTGCTAAAAGTGGGCTTGCTCTAGTTCTTATGTGAAAGGGAGGGCAGGATGGAATTTTGCCTTTTTCTTTTCCACTGTGTCATTAATTGTAAATTGAATTTACTCCAATGTATTTAACCCAGTTTATGTGTCTGATTTTCATAGACAACAGATTTCAAACCAATACCACTGAAAACAGGAGAGGGTGAAGATTATTGTTTGGCTTTAAAACAAGAACTTAGAAATGCCATGAGAAAGACACCTTATTTTATGTCCAAAAATGAGGACAATCAAGGTTAGTTTGGCATATCATTTTATTCTATGAATGACACATGAATTATTTTGCCATTATACAATGATTTAAGTACTATGTTGTACAGGCACAATAATCGGTTACTTAAAAACTTGGTTCTTTGATGGGCCTAGAAGTTACAATGTTTACCCTTTAAATTCAGATTTGTGGAAGGAGATTATAAATGTAGCAATATGAAAGTGATGATTAATTCATTGTTTGCTTTCTGTTTTCTAAGCATTTCATTATAGTTATAGGAAAGCATATTTAGCACAACAGAAAACATTTGGATTAAAATTGGAGGTTCTTTATTTATAAAAGTTGATACGCTTTTTGACCCCTTAGTTGAGGTGACCATTTATTAACAGGGAGGATCAGTTGATAATGGGAGCTAGTAACTGGACAAGGTATCCCAAAGGAGCAGTTTACTTAGATGGTTCAGTGTAACCCCATCCTCATCCTCTTCAAGCGAAGAAGGTAGTTTGAATGTGAGCATCAATTCTAAATACAAAGGACTTGAGTGCATTTTCTTTCTTGGAGAATCGGTGCAGGACTAACTGTTAGGCTGCCTGCTACCGCAATCTATTCACTCTGCTTGCTTGTATCATTTGCTTTTGTTACAAAAATATTACTGGACCCCAAAGCAAGTCCAAAGCAAACAAACCCTGCAACACCTCTCAAGGTCTTCCCTCTGCTTGAGGAAGAGAGGAGTGTATAACACATACTTTCTCAAAAAATCTCTGGAGCAAAGAACAACCATCTTCCTTGCAATTGCAGGATAATCTGCAATTCACAGTTAATCTTACCTTCCAGGGTTTGAGTCTCTCCATTTCCCAGTCAGCTAGAGTTCTGGGATGGCAACCTTTCAACTGCAGTACAGGTTCTGCTGAGAACACCCCTACTTTTGCATTTGGGATGCTTTTGCTATGCGTATACTATGTGAGTGTGGGAGGTTCTGCACACATCCTCCTTTGTCCAAGAGGTATAGGAGGTGGATGCACTCAATCTGGTAACTTTTCCAAGGTACGCCACCTTCCTTTTGTTAGTGTGGGAAATCACCCTCCATAGTGAGCAACCTGTGGAGAAAAAAAGTGAATGCTTGATATAAGAGAACGTGTAGGAAAATTTACTGTTTTGCCTTCTACTTTACACTTTTGAACCTCCTTATTCTGTTTGTTACCTGTTCATAATCTAGAAAAGAAAAAAACACTGATGTGATCACTTGCATAAAATAATTGCTTTGCCAAAAAGCCTTGTATCAAATGCACAAGCATTTGCCATCAATAAAATGAAGTTTATCCTTCTGATAAACTTTTTGCATCATGCTTAAATGAAGCTTTTGATTCATAATTGGCTTTGCTTGAATCTATGGTCAGTGAATCCAACAATTCTACATTTTGTCTCCAGGTTTTGTACCTGTTGAAAGGTACAGCAAAAAGTACTTGCAGAGAAATGGTGATAAGCAAGAATGGACTCCAGGTAAGATAAGTTAATTCCAGGTCCTCTGCAAAATGCTGAGTTCTTTTTTTTTTCTTTTTCTATTTAGATGTAAAGCTCATTGGGGTGGGGGGCAGTATTAGGTAGTTCTCCCTTTGAGCACCATTTAAAATGTTGTTGAGTAGATATACATTTGCCTAACTTAATTCAGGTCAATCACTTATACAGTTACTGATGATACTTTTATAAAATTATCTTTATGGATAAGATCCCCAACCAGACAAACTTATTCAGAGCTGCTAAATTCAGTCCCAGATGTCACATCTTTCCAGAGAAAGAAATTCTTGGAAGTCCAGCGGGTCACACTTTTTTTGAAAAGCTGGGGAATTGTGATTCTGGTCTGTGATTTGTTGACTCTCTCCTCAAAGTCATAATGGGTGTGATTCTAAAATCTAAATGATTTAGGTCATAATCAACATCTTGTATGATGCCCAAACAAGTCTGTGTCACTCTCTCCTTATTGCCTTACAAGAGGCTGCTCAGAATCATGCCAGCGCACAAATCATCATACCGTGTGTACATAGCCATAATTAGTACTGTAAGGAAATATGATGGCCAATTCTGGCATTCCTGCAGCCATCACTGACAGCAGATGTGGGTGGGCCTCCCATCTTAACTGAATGATTCTGCTTTAGGGTCCATTGCCTTCAGCAAGACTTTTTGTGTGCTTAGATTGTTTGCTCAGGGCTGTTTGAAGAATACACTGACCATAATGCCTTTGGATATAGTTTCATTAAAAGTATTTCTATCAAAAAAATAAAAATTTAATGTATTTTTGCAAGACTGGAGAAGATTACCAAAGGAGCTCAAACCAAAGAAAAGGATTAAAAAAGGTAATGTCCATATTAAGCAGCATTTAATACCTGTATATTGAGATTCAGGATGTTTTGTCATGGGTTTGCTCTTCTAGGGTTTTTTAATTGTTCATTTATTTGAATGTTTTCAAACAGGATGATAAAATTTTGAATAGAAGTGAAAAGAGGAACATTTTAAAAGCTAAATTGCTTTTAAGGTTCCTTTTAAATTCTAGCATTTTAAAAGTTTGGAAATCATTGTGTAATTGATCAGTAATTCTGAAATAATATATTTATTATTACCTTGAGGAAAAACCAACCAACTAAAAAGAACTGTAAGCTTTTATAGCATTTTGTTCTATTTTGCTTTTAAATATGTTACATTATTAAAACACATGCATCATTTCTAGGTTTTATTCAATGAATCTGCTAGAACAAAAGCAGATACAGGTTTTTCCCATGAGTATTCCAGATAATGGTTTGGTTATTAGTATGCCAAACTCTTCCTGCTTCACTGGCTTCCACATAAGATATTCTGTTGCTTACATAATGGCTGGGTTCAGACAACACAATAGGCCATGATTATTGTTGTTGTTGTTTACCATTGTTGGTCTTACATGTTGTCTGAACTCAGAGATGATATTTCATCATGATGAATTTAGCCTTAGAAACCTCAAAAAGAAACAATGGATTGTTCTATGGTGTCTCTGCAACACCATAGCCTGTCATATTGTACAAACCAATGATTGTGATTTCCATGGTCCTTGTATGCAGTTACTGGAAAGAGTGTCAACTGCAGAATCTGCTCCAGTCATCAAGCCTGAGGAAGAGGCAAGTGATACAGGCAGGGAGCAATGCACCTTCAGATTGAATTTCAGGTGCAGTGGCTTGATGGAACAGATGCCATCAGCAAGAGTACTAAGCAGGGAGAATGAAAACCACAATAATGTAGAAACCACCTGATCATCTGTCAGGTAGATCATGGTAACACGCCTCCCCCACAAAGTATGAAAGGGATGCAGGGTTGCTTGTCATGTCGCATGAACCCAGCTAATGCACTTAGAACATACTATCTTTGCCTGGATTCTGGAGAGTACAGGGTAAGAAGTTCTTGCTTTGGCAGGTGGAAAACCAAATAAGGCAAAAACTGCAACATCCAAAACTAATGTGGACATACTGAAAAAGATAGAGGTAAGGCCTGCTCTATACAGTGCATTTCCTCCTATTTATCTTTCATTTCAGCTGTGCTCTTTGTTGGGAATTGTCAGCAGAGGTTTAAAAGAAGTGGTGGCTGGGTTGGGGGAATGACAGAAGGATTTGAGGGATATATGTAGTGATTCAGGGTGCTTTCACTTAGCTGAAAGATGCTGTTTGGCTTGTTTGGTACTTTTCTTGAAGGTTATGTTAGGGTACATGGCAGAATAGTTATCAAAATGGCATGAACAATACAATACAATAATTATTTGGTCCTTGACCAGCAAACATGAACAAATACTGTGCATCTGGGTGGTATTGTTAAACCAGAGGTGAAGCATGTGTGGCCTTCTGGATGTAGGGGGACTACAAGGCAGGAGATCAGTTGATGTGGCAATGTACTGTTCATCTTAAACAGTAGTTGGGAAAGAAAAGAAAAGAGATGAAGAAAAGCCACTTGGGGGAAAGAGGGAAAGAAAAGAACGAGGATAGTGTGGAAGTGACAGTGTGGTGTGGTAGTTATAGAGTGTTGCCCCAGGACTTGAGATCTGGATTTCATTGTTGATTTGGCCCTGAAGTTCACCAGGTTACTTTGGGCCAGTAACTGATAGAGATGTGTGAGGAATCCATTTGCGGGGAGGGAATTTGTTGTATTCCCTGCACTCAGCTCCCCAGATTCCAGTCAGCTTTGATGCAGCCATGAGTCCAAGTCCCTGGTGAGCACAGTCAGCATTTGTGTGGCGCTCGCAGGGAATTAAGCCTCATACAGCTGTTGCGGAAGCAGTGCCCCACTCTTGCATCACATGCAGCAGCATCTGTTTGTGATGAACAGGGCCAAACACAAAAGGGTGTCTACAAAAACTAGAAGGATGAATTCTGCTAAGTTTTGACACTCACTCTTCACACACTCACTCTTGCCTAACCTACCTGTAACATATTTGTGGTGCAGATAAAATGGAGAAGAGAACAACCATGTAAGCAAGCTTGAGAAAAAATAGTGGGACATAAACGCAATGTAGTAATAATGATCAGCAGCATCTTTCACTGCACAGATTAGAGTCACCCCCCTAGAAGTCGAGGGGCTCCTCAGGGCATTGGACATTACAAAGGCGCCAGGCCCTGACGGGTTACACCCGAGAGTACTTAGAGAGTTGGCAGGGGTTCTCTCACACCCGCCGGCCTCCATTTATGAGGCCTCATGGAGAACGGGTGACGTTCCAGAGGACTGGAGGGTGGCATCAGTGGTCCCAGTTTTCAAAAAGGGAAGTAGAAGGGACATGGGGAATTACAGACCTGTTAGCCTTATGTCCATTGTAGGAAAAACAATGGAAAGGCTCATAATAGAGAGAGATCTAGCCATGCCAGATAGGGAAGGGAGGCTGGCAGCCACACAACATGGCTTCCGCAAAAACAGGTCCTGCCAGACAAACCTTGTGGAATTCTATGACAAGGTTTTGAGGTGGCTAGATGGAGGGGATGCAGTGGATGTGGTTTACCTGGATTTCAGCAAGGCCTTTGACAAAGTGCCCCATGATATCCTGGTGGAGAAACTGAAGAATTTTGGGATACACAAAAGCACTGTTCGGTGGATTAGGGCATGGTTGACTGACTGAAAGCAAAGGGTAACCATTAGTGGGAAATCGTCGGGATGGCGGCCAGTGACAAGTGGGTTCCCCCAGGGCTCTGTCCTAGGGCCGATCCTGTTTAATCTTTTCATAAATGACATGGAAAAAGGGAAAGTGGTATTACTACCACTCTATACAACTCTGGTATGCCCACAACTGGAGTATTGTGCTCAGTTTTGGGCCCCTCATTACAGAAAGGTTATAGCCAGGTTAGAATCAGTGCAGCGTAGGGCCACAAGGTTGGTGACCTGTTACTAAGGGATGTTGAGAAGTGATATCACAAATCATTTCCTAATAGGAAAACCACTGGCATTTTATTTTATATGGTCGTATCAAATGAAATGTCAGCCCTGTTTAAGGATAGTACCTGGCAGCCTACAACAAATTTCTTTGGGTGCAATTCTGTGCCTCTTTAGGCAGAAAAAAGTGGTGCAGCTTTCAGCATTCCCCACCCAACTTCATTTCTAGAGCAAAACCACAAGGAAGGTCTCAGTTGGAAGTTCAAATGATGTGGCAATATTTTGCTAATTTTTCAAGGAGCTGGAAAAGAAAGGAGATGGGGAAAACTCAGATGAGGAGGAAAAGGGAAAAGAAACTAGCAAGGATAAAGAGGAAGAAGAAGAAGGAGATGAGGCAGAAGAATATAATGAAGAGGAACATGAAGAGGTATTGTCTTCTTACAGAATATTTTTGAGACATGTTAGGGCAAGTAGTAATAACCTCAACTGCTATCATACATGGTTGGGACAAGTAGAGTAAATGCAGTGTATGCTAGGTGTTTCTGCAAACATTCCTTCAGGTTGTGTAAATCAAATGTAGAACCCTATAAACCAGTAAAAGGTTGATTTTTAAAATGTGCCTTTTCACTTTTTATATTTTATATTGCATTGACAATATTCAGAAGTGACACAGTACAGGTTAAAAGTGCTTGAAGTGTGTCATATTTAAAAGTGTCATGTTTGAAAATGCTGCATGGTTGTAGCCCTGAGTTCAAATTGCTTTGAACTCAGTGCAAGTGACTATGATGGGAAGTATATTTTGGATTAAGGAAGGGGTGATGTCTAACCAAAAAATGCTAGAGTTGTGTTGACATTAATGATGAAGAACCTTTCTTAGATCTCTTAGAAGTTACAAAATGTTACTGGAGAATGGTAGTTTTAATAGAGCACAGAATCTTTTAGTCAGTAATAGTTAATAGCACAGTTTTTTATATTTAGTTTGCATCCATGTTTTTGGAGAAACTATTCTTAACATTTAAACACATAGTGCTGATTGAGGGTTTCTCAATCAGAGGGTTTCTTCAACTATTTTAGTTAACAAAATAGTTAACCAAAAGAACATGTGATACCCTACTTAAAACATTGCTTTTCAAATGCAAAGATATGTATTTGCCCCAGGTTGAAAAATGTAGCATTGTTATATGTTGAGATGCCACAGAGGTACAGGAATGAAATTAGTATCTTGCCTTTTCTCCATTAAATTTACCCACCAGGAGAAAAATAAAATAGTAACTCCTTAATTATGGACATAGACTTCCTGCAGAATGCAAAAGAAGGACAACTTCCTCTCATGTACATTCAGAATTTTCTCTGGAAGGTTGGACAGTAGTCCAGAGAAAAAGGGGAGAGGGCCGCAGTGGGAAAGCGAGATGGGGAAGTGCCATTGCATGTGTAAGACTGATGTTTCTAATCACTATTTAAATGCAAGGCAGCAATTACAAAAATGTCCCCTACCTTTCACCTCAAACTTGGTTGAGAGTGAGAAAGACAGTTGCTCTTAGCGTGCATTCCTAAGGCCACCTGACTGGGACTCAGCAGCAGGAGGAAGTCGTCTCAGAATGCGGGCCTGTTCCAGACATTGAGATGAGAGAAGCAGAGGTGCTTATCTCAAGGCCAGACCCTCCTAGGTGCTCAGACAGCCTCTGAGAATATACAGGATGAACCGGTATCAAGGGGAGACTTGGAACAGGGGGATTTCTCAGAGACAAACAAAGCGGTTATTGACTTGACCCCATAACATCAGCTGCTCATTTCCTAAAGACCCTTCCTGAAAAACTGGGCCCCAAACATACTCATAAGGAGAGTTTCTAGAAGTAAATACTAGAATTTACTAAATACTAAAATTTACTAAATTTACTAAATACTAAATACTATTGGGTTCAGTGAATTGCTTTGTGCATTTTTGGAGGTTCATTCTGGTGTTTGTGCTCCTGGAAATGCTCAATAAAGAACATTTTGCAAGAAAGCTCTGTGGCTTTGAATGTGCAAAGGGAAGTAACCTAGCGCATGACACACTTGGAAGAGGGCAGTGTATATTAAGTACAGTCTTCCACGACCACTGCTGATTCTTCATTGGGAAAGTAGGCTTTATATAGATTTCCCATGGGTATGTATGGATCAATATGAATTTGACTACTTACTTTCTTGCAGTTGGATTGCCACTTACGTACAGGGTCTGCCAGAAGTGCCAGCTTGTTTTCTGCTTGCTTTTGTGCCACAATAAAAATACTGGGCACCTTCAAACATCAAGTATGATGTATGTACATCAAGTAGTAACAGTGTCCATTTCATTTCCTGGTTGTAGCACAAAGGGAGGAAAAGCCAAAGGGAGGTGAATACCTCTGCAAGGCACTGCAGACTGTGTGTTTCTGTTTATGTGCTCATGTGTCTTTCTCAATAGCAATTTACAGTACTCTGAACTAAAACATTTTCCTTTAGGAAAATGACTACATTGCTTCGTATTTTGAAGATGGAGATGACTACGGAGCTGACAGTGATGATAACATGGATGAAGCAACTTACTGAAATTATCATCATTTCATGGTTCAGAAAATAAAAGCTGAAGAGTGCACACTTCTGTTACCTCAAATTATGACCAAGTATCATCTGAGTAGATTAACAAAGATGATTCAGCCTCATCTTGCTGTTACTTGAGTATAAGATAATCTCAGATTCAAAATGTCTTGAGAGTTCAGCCTTTATTGATGGAATAGAAAATTATAGTGGCGGCTTATGGAGGAGCTCAGATGTTCCCTCTGTACCACGCTTTTCCTTCCTTGAATGAATTTACAGCAGTGTTAAGTGAGCAGTGTTAAGTGCGCCTCGATGGAACATAGGCCTAACCAAATTACTCTGCATTGCTTAGGGAATTAGCTTTTGGAGAGAAATGGTTGCTGTAATGTTTACAATTTACCCTTCATAAGATAAAGCATTTACTGAAAATCTGATGAAGGCTATGATAGAGCTGAGCAGCCTCCAAGCCTCCCCAATGGGCTTAAGTCTGCCCCATCCCTTGCATATCAATTAGACTTTGGAAAAAAACATTGCAGCAGAGCCTGTCTGGAACTATTTCCAAGTTAAATTGCTACGGGGGGATTTTTTCGAGGAAGGCTGTAGCAGGAGAAAAACCCTGGGAGGAGTCATGTGAAGTGTTCCAAATCAGCAGCTTCTTTGTCAAGAACTGTTGTGCTTTTAAAATTTGTATTTCATTTTTCATTGTTTGTCCTCAGATCTTGGCCGATAAACAGTTTTGGTCAAACACTGTTTAAAACTGGAGCCTAGTAAACTGAATTGTCTGTTGAGTTACCAGACTTTAGATCTGAACTCTACTTGCAGCAGTTCTGTCCAAGAATGAGTCTTATAATGCTTTGGGGAACTTTCCAGCCCAACACTTACCAAGTCTATGTGGAAATGGAGGAGTCATGATGCAGCAGCCTAGATGCCATCTAGAACAGGGGTCCTCAAATTTTTTGAATAGGGGGTCAGTTGAAAGGCTGCAGTGACCGTCGTAGGCCAGTGAGGTGGGTGTTCCTGGAGGTGCGGGCTGGTGAGTTTGAGGACCCATGATCTAGAAGGTGTAGCCCCTTTTGCATTTAATGGTCCTGGCTTGCACTTGGTGATTCTGAGACCTCAGTGAAACAGATAAAGCCCAAAGGATTTTAACTCAAAACCAACACTTCACCTTTTGCTTAAAGGGTTATAAGGAGCTTCTAGAAATATTGTTTTAAAAATAACAAGTGCCCCCAGTTCTCCAAATGATGAGAGAGAAATCACCTGTTTTCCATTTGAATGGTATAAAACATTTTGAACCTATTCTAAATTTCATCAGTTCATACAATCATATCTTTGAATCAGGCTATTTAAAAACAATTACTTGCAAATAATCCAGCTCTTGCAAAGATTTTGAGTGGTACATTCTGATGGCCAGAGACCTGTTGTGCAGAGCCAAGGCATGAATTTTGCAGACTGGAGATTTATTTATTTTTAAAGCTTTTATCAACCATAAACTCCTTTTTATGAGGAGTTTGGTTCCTTGTGAGAGAGGAGGCCTGGTATTTAAAATACTCTTTGAATGCTCTACTAAGTTATTCAGTCTTGCTTTCTTCTGAGTAGACATTCAGAAGCCCTTCCCTGCTTTCTTCTGAGCAGGCTTAAAATAGTAGTAATCATGTGTAGCCCTGAAGTTTTTAGAATTTTTTGGTGCTTTCTTTTCACTAAGGAAAGGTGCCAGATAGAAAAGTTCACTTTCTCCTTTAATGTTTGATTCCTGTTTAGAACTTGGCCTGTATCATTAAACAGAATAGTAGCATTCACAGCTTGGTGCATGAGAGCTTAAAATGTAACATTATTCTTTGCCCTGATGATCTTTAATTGTTCATCTCAGCATTCAGGTTATCTGTTCTGACTTTCATTTATAGTGGCCTTGATTAATGCCATTGATTAAAACTTTTGGCAGTTTGAATAGCTCTTCAGTTAATTGATCAAAATCTGAATTGTTACTATATCTCATATATGAGTGGATTAGCAATTCCAGTAGTGCCTGGATATTATTACCTATGCGACAGTCCTTATTTCCAGAGACATATCTGAAATGATCACGCTTAATATGAATAAATTGATTGAAATCTCTCAGGATTTAGATAAGGGACAACTTTAAAGCTGAATTTATGGGGTAAGGGAATACACTCAAGATGAGTACTATATCTCAGATTGTTTATCGTATGTATGGCATTCCTTTTTCCATACTGGCAAATATTTTTTAAAAAAATCAATGCTTGGATGTGAATTTGGAGAAGATTCCTTTCTGTTGTATTAATCTTTAAAAAGGATGCAATTTCAATTTAAGAAGTGGGTTTGGATTCCTGAATCTCTCATTATACCATTGGGCTTATTTGTTTACTGGTACTGAACTGTGATCTTTTCCATTTAAATTTTCTGCCTTGGTCAGTTTTGGAATTTTTTGTCTGGACCATTTCTGTAAATCAATGGTATTAGATTCTAGGTATTTTAGAAAAGATGGGCTTCCCTTTGCAGTTACAGTTGTTGAAGGTGTGTGGCACATAGTTACATCAGTTCAGTTTTATTCTATTTTCTCATGCTAAATTGACACAGTCAGGGCCACCAGCTTTCAAAATTGATAAGCAAATGATTTTGTGCCAGACGTGGATGGATAAAGCGATTGCTACCTTGGATCAACTGTCAGTATGCCAGTGAGTTTTGTCATTCTCTGGTTTGTAGGTTGAGTATATTTTGCCAGCTATGACTGAGCAGCAATACTTGCAACCATTTTATTACCTAGGTTTGACACTCTTGCTTTTACAGCTTCAGCTTCTCTCTCACTGGTGGAACCATTTATGAACCCTATCAGACAAATAGACCTACAATCCATGTCTATAAATATTTATTATTAGGAAATAAATAGAATATACAAACTCTTAAGCAGGAATGGAATAATGAACTAGGTTGTTTCACATTGTGTAATCAGTGGCCTTGGCATCTGTAATTGATGCGGCTATGAATCTCAGGTTGCATCTAATTCAGCAAAAACTTATTTCATATTTGTTGGATATTGCATTTTCTCTTTACTAAGTGTTTTCTCTAAGTCAGCAAATTGTCAGAGGTATAATGCAGCTAATGCTTCTTCTGAGTGTCTATTTTGGCAATGCCTAGTAGTTGCCCTTTCTTTGGAAAGAGGTAACTACATGGCTACATTTTGTATTAAAAGACTCCTTAATATCTACTGCTGTATATGCTCTTTTAAATAATATAGCTGCTTACTGGTAGTTAAGCCTAATCAGCACACAGTTCTCTACACCCTTCTGACAGTACAAGACTGATTACAACATTGAAACAATACGCGCTTATCTCCTATAATGTAATGGACTAAAGACCTTACCGTGTTTTCAGCATTTGAATGGATGGTATATAGATGCCAGCTACAGATGGATACTTATTTAGATATCTGGTCTGCTTTTGTTGAAGATTATGTAGAGATCTGGAAAGTTTTATTTTCATATATATGAAAGTGAAATGGATATATGCACTGAAATACATTTATTGGAAAATATGTAGCCATATTGTCTTTTATTCGCCTTTTCTTTTGTCAAAATCTTACAATAAAAGTAAGTTACAACAGCTGACTCTCCATCCATGGACTGTGTCCTCCCAAGATCTTTTTGATTTTGCAGTCTGACCATGTCTCTGGAAAAGAATTGTACAGTGTCTTTGTACTGGAACACTTTAAGTCAGGGGTCAGCAACCCGTGGCTCCAGAGTCGCATGTGGCTCTTTCATCCCTCTGCTGCGGCTCCCTGTCACTCAAAATATGCGTCACAACCACCAATGTGCGACACCTGCCTGCACGCGATTTATTGAGCTTTTCAACCCTCGGTAGGCCAACCATGGATAAATCCAAGAAAAGAAAATTTTCAGAAGAAAACAGAACGTTTAATGGTACATGGGCAGATTCATTTGCTTTCACTGCTGATGAGACTGGTTTACCAGTATGCTTAATATGTGGTGAGAAATTGGCAAACAACAAAAAGTTGAATGTTGCAAGACATTTCCAGTTAAACACACAGCCTTTGCTGAAAAATATCTGGATGGAGATGAGAGAAAAAAAGCCATTTATGAACTTACGCAGAAGGTTGATCAGAGCAAAAATCATAATTTAAGTTCGGCTTTTTATTTCATAAATATGAGGACTCAAATAGACATTCAATATTTTATTTGAAAGTAACCTTCAACCCAGCATCTTTTTTCAGAGTTCAAAATGTTTTTGTTGCACAAATAAAAATTTGTTTTCTCTGTAGCAGTTCATTGATTTCATAAATGCAACACACTATAGTTTATGTAAACATAAAGGTAAAAATGGTATCTGCAGTGTTATCTTCTATTTAGATGTCAAAAAGGTTTTGTGGCTCCTGGTGTTTTCTTTTCTGTGAGAAACAGATCCACATGGCTCTTTCAGTGTTTAAGGTTGCCGACCCCTGCTTTAAGTAAACACTTTCTCTACCAAAAGTAAAATGATCTTGTCCTCTAGACTTGAGTTTAATGTAGAAATAACTCCCAGCGATAAACCATTAGGAAAGCATATACAGTATGGTAAACTCTCTCTCAATGTTCTTGAGTTATCAGTGTAATGTCTGTTTTTAATTTTTATTTGAAGATATGGATGCTACCAGATAGAAGCCTTAAGATAACCAACATTACTTTGCCGCAAGCTAAAAGCACAATTGTGACTGGCCATTTCAGGGATTATAATAATGCTATTTTCAGTGTGCTCATTTCTACTGAGTTTCATCCACCCAATGGCTACAACATAGTTGTATACAACGTAGCCAACTAGGCTGTGATGCTTCCTCACTTTCCCCCGGTTTCTCATGATTGCCACACATCTGCTGAAATTGTGTGTGGTGCTCAGTTCCATTTTGTCACCATGCTGTGCGTACACTTGAGTTTTCACATCAGCAGATTGCAAACATTTCTGTTTGTAAAATAAGGACTTGTCACACAGGGTAAGAAAAGTAGCTTACTTCAAAGTAAACATGACTAGCTATTCCCAAACTGCCTTCATTGTGTATTTTTCCATCCACATCTGGCAAGAGTACAAATAAATGGTTAATGCTTACAAAAGAAGAATGTAAACAGTAGGATCTCACAAATACATTTTGACTTTAATGACCTGAAATTAGGAGGTCATTAAAAAAAATTGCAAAAAGCTCCAGAGGACTCTCTCCGTACAGAGAGAATGTTCATTCAATGTGAACAAGTGTGAAGCACTTCCAAGTTAGGACAAAATTTTATGTATCTTGTTGGGCTACCAAGCTGGTGGTGAATGACCAAAAGAGGTTGTGCTTGTATTGGATACATTCAATGAAAATGTCTACCTTTGATGTAGGCACTCTGGAAAATGTAACTTCTATGTGTATTCTTAGCTCTGGTGGGACCATGTTAAAAATATGCTCAGTTGTGGTTGCCACAGCCCAAAAAGTCACTGCAGCTGAAAGAGAGCAAGCAAAATGATAAAGATGCTGGAACATCTCTATGAGGAAAGGCAGCGACACTTGCAATGACTTGGCCTTTAAAAGAGGTTATGCAACAACAGTGGATAGAGAGAGAAACTTCTATTTGGACCTGGGGTCACCCCAGGAAGATTCAAAGCAGGTAACTGGAAGTATTTCTCCAAGTACATAGTTAAAACTGTAATCTACTACCACAAGAAGTGATAGCCTCCAATTTGGATGGTTTTAAAAGGTTAGACATATATATGAAGCATTAGCTATCAATGGCTACAAGTCATGATGGCTGTATATTACCTCCAATATCGGAAGCAGTAAATCTGGATACTATTTGCAGAAGAACATGAGCTTGAGGTGGTGCTGCCCTCATTTCCTATTTATGGCCTTCCCACAAGGAGCAGTTTGGCCATCGTACAAATGGAGTGCTGAATTAGATAGGCCTTTGGTCTGATCCAGCATAACTCTTTTTCAGTTCTTGGGATTGTACTACTATGTTGGTCTTTCCCACATGTCTTTTGTGTTATTAAAACAGAAGTGATGGAAAACCTGGAAAGATTACAACTAGCTTCCATAGTCCGAATCCTTGTAAAATTGTGCAATTGAGGAATGGCCATAATGTGTAACCTTAATTGGAAATGTCCCAGTTGATCAGAACAGCTCAAATAGATCCTAAGATTTACTTTACAGCTAAAACGTAGGCATCATGAAGCTATGTATGATGAGTGAACAGGAAATTATACGGAGGGGAGCACTAGCAAGCGATGACACCATGATTCGAAAATTCCTCTCATTACTGATTTTAAAAACTCAATTAACAATGCTTGAATGTTTTTTATTTAAGATAAACTGCCTTCTGAATTGTACTTTTGCAAATAGTAATGGCTAGTTCTCTTTGGCAAATTTATAGCCAGTCACTGACAATACAGTTGAAGATAGAATCCAAAGAACCAGCCAATTAGTTCTGTACATCTCATTTTAGACTTGGAAAGGTCTTACTCAAAAAGGCTATTACAGGACAATCCACTCTTGCAACATAGAAGGATTTCAAAAGTCATTTGAGGTTTTTAGGAGAGCTTCTCTTAAAACACACATATCTAAACACTTTGGTATACCTGAAATAGTCTTAGGATTCCTCTCCTTTAGAAAGTACAGAATACACATAAAGCACATTAACAAATATTAATAGACTAAGCACTGTGGAATTTAGACTGTTAATTCATCACTCTAAGCTGAATTAAAAATATATATTTTATTTGTACTTTTCTTTTAGCATTTTAATTCCAGAAAAGATATTTTACCCAAAAACATTTTATAAATTTCAGACATTATAAAATATTTTACTATGTAAAGAACATTTGTGGCAATGTTCTTTAAAATAAACAAATATGATTGAATACACAAATTAAGAGCTGGCTGACTGATCAACATATCCTATTACAACTCTGATATCCTGATCCTATTTTTTTCTCCATTTTGAATAAACTTCCTAACACTCAGTTTTGCAGTCCTAAACAAACTTATGCAAGTTGTAGTAGCATTAAAATAAATGGGGTTTACTTGCTTATACTTATGACTGAACTGCTGGGTGTTTCAAGGTGTTATTAGCTTTCCATAGAATTCACAGTGAAATTCTCAATTTTTCTGTAACTTTGTAAGGTTTTTGTAACCTTTCCAAAGTAAAGGCTCATCACATAGTAAGTGAGTGTTTAAGACTGCAACAGAATACTTCGGAAAAGAGCAATACATGCAGCAGCACATGTGAAGGAAAGTCAGTACAGGCTACTTAGTTTCATATTGTTACTGCCAATTCTGTTTGTACACACAAAATATTTAATTGTCTTTAATAGAAACAGATGCTGATAATTCAGAAAGACCTTTTCTTTCATGGGTGTTCTATTCATTCACAAAATACAATGTCTTTATTATATTATAGAAATAAGGCGCAGGCTCTTGAGCTTTAATAAATCTCAAGATCATATTTTGGTACATAATACTAAGTTAACAATGTGATTAGTTTGCTGTCTTGTCCATAAGTTTGTGTTGCTCATCTTCAGTAGCAAGGCTCAAACACAGTTATACTACCCTCCTACCCTACCCCCAAAAGCAGAGGCAGAGCTGGGATATTAAGGTCTTAATAAGCAATTTTATAGGCTAGCAATTTTACAATCAGTTTTATAGTTATAACTATTTAAAAGGGAAATTTTAGTGAAAGGATATAGATGTCTTCAAAAGGCAAGATTTTTAGTTCAGCTGACCAATAAGCTAGAGTGTTAATTGCATGTTATCCACAGGACTGTATGCCTTTTGGTTTTTAAAAGAAAAAATAAATGGGGAGGGAGGAAGGACTCTGCATCTTCTTTGTTCCAAATTGTGAGTGCACAGGTGCACACACAGCTGTCCTTCTGAATATGCATTTGGAACACAACAACATTAATGGAAAACAGGAGGCATGAAAGACAGGGAAATAAAATTAAGAGGGGAAAGGCTTAAACATACGCTTTCCCTGTATCTCTGCTTGAAGTTGTCCCATTCCCAAAGGTGTTTTTTTGTAAAAGGACATTTTCATACAAAGTGCAGTTAGTCCTATGATCTTTTTCATGATATAATACTCTATATATCTTTGCACAACTAGACTCTTAGATCACCAACACAGCAAACTGTTCTTCAGCCCATCTGAAAAACAACTATTTCTAATTCCAGGATTAGCTCATGATGGAAGATAACTTTTTTTTCTCTTTATAACTAAACTTTCACACTGACAACACATCCAAACTAAATAATATTTTTTCCAGAAAACAAAGAGCTTGTTTAAATGTATGCTAACAAAGTACTTTCATTTAAACTGGATTCTGTCCTATTCACTTGGATCACAGCTGCTGGTCTCCCATTATTGTGGCAGATCCATGCACTACGTCTTTAATTTATCAACATGCTGACTTGACCATTCTACTGAAGGGCAACTTCTTTCATACATGTTGAATCATAACAAATGCCCTCCTTTTAAATGCCATCACATGTAGTTACTTTCCAACTCCATGCAGGACCTGTTGTTGTTGGTTCTTCACAGAATATGTTGAATGGATGCCCAGACCTTTAGCATGCAAAAATTTTACTTGATTTTCATGAAAAACGATTTACTCCATTTTCTAGTGGTTTTGACTGAGATGGTGTTGTAACAGATGAATATTCCACTGTAGAATGGTGACTGACATCCACTTTAACTAAAATTTCATAGTATAAAAGATAAAAAACAGGTGTTATTATACCCACCATTACCATTATTACAACTGCTGTCCACCATCCTATTCCCCAGTCTGCACCATAATAAGGATCTTTCCGCTTGATGTGGTTACCATCTGGCTCAAAGTTTGATTGTTGGGTTGTTAAGGCAGAAACAACTTCATTAAGATTCTCTCTCTTTGTAGCATTACACTTCACTATTTGTTCTATGTCACGATCTACTTCTTTCAAGAAGTTACCAGCTGTCTCAGTAGAGGAAAATGGCTCAGCAGCCAGTGGTGTGTCTGAGAGTTCTGCAGACAATGAAGAAGAGACAGTTCTCAAAACTTGCCTGCTTTTGGGAAAACTGTGTGTCTCAGTCAATAGGCTAAACTTTTTCACTGGAATTTTAATAGCTCGCAGTGCAAAGAAGTCCTGGTCTGTGATGAGGTTGTTCACCCTTTTGATATCAGCTACCTGAAACACAAGTTACAATAAAATCACTTCACATAAAAGTTCTCTTTGATCAGCCAGAATTAATTCAAGATTATAACAAGCTTAACACCAATATTTGCATCAAGAGACCGGCTACATTTTACCAACTCAGATGACCAACTCAGATTGTGTTGATCACTCTAGATCTAGCTATTTAGTCAATATCCCCACTATAAGCTCAGAAGGTCCTTTACTGCTTTGCATTTTCAAACTATACAAACAGCCTCTTTGAAAGGTCATTATTCTCACAGTCCAACAGAACAATGTGTATGTATTTGTGGCTTTCCTGTAGGGGAGAATTTTCCCCACTATGTGATATCCTGTCCACTATATAGAGCTCCAAGAGAAAAATTCTTAGCTGGAATTTTATCTGCCACTGACGCTTACTTGGAAACCAAGAAGACTGTTTTTGCTGTTACCAGATAACTGTGTTTATGTACCCTATAGAGTGAGGGTGGCCCAAGCAAGGCTTGGGAGCCACATGTGGCTCTTTGAGTTTATTTTGCAGCACACTGCTCACTGCCATGGGTGCCTGCAGGAGCCCACTTGCCACTCACTGCCTGTTGCCACCCTCTGAACACCCACTTGTGGCTCTCAAACTTCTGACATTTAGCACATGTGGCTCTTCCGGGGAGCACGTCTGGTAAACCCTGCTATAGAGCATCTCTATTCGCTTGAGAGATGCTCTATAGATCGAAGGTGGCATTGAAGTAGGTAGTTTGTGATTAAACTGGTTATATTACTTTTATAACTATTTTAACATATGCTACTAACAAATCTCCTTTATATTCTACTATGTCTTTTGTAAATTTTGTAAAGGCCTATGGCTAAATACAATAAAATTTTGATTTGACCTCAGATTGTGGCAAGGAAATTTCTGGGACCATAGAAAAATAATCAGATCAAAGAAGGACATCTGCAAGCACTGGCTCTTGTCATTCCTGTACACCCAGAAAGGAGAAAGAACCACCATGACTGTGAATCAAAGGAATCAGGAATAGTTCCTCGCCTGAGGGAAGGAATGCTTTCACAGTCTTGTTGCTAGCTAGGTTCTATTATATTTTGTTTGCTACCTGTGTTCAGAAAAGGAACAGGGAAAAACTGTTACTTGAAAATCAACTGCCCTGTTGAAAGAAAAATAACCCCAGCCAACAGAGAGAGGTGAGGTTCCCTAGAGCAAACGTCCTTAAGCAAAAAGATATTCTGAGGCTCTTCCTCTTTCTTGGAAGGGCAAGGTCTAAGGGCTAAAACAGATATGACTGTTGTAGTATGTGGAACACTTTATTTAAAGCCCTTGGTGCTGCTTGTTCCCAAATCACCCCCAAGGGAAGAATATTTTTATACTTACAAAGGACCATAAAAATACTGTTACACACATTTTTGTATATCCTGCTATTCAGACCTCAGGGACAGGCATTCATGAAAAATAAAATAAACTACAAGTCATTCTGGTAACAGAGTAATTGTTGCTACCTCTCAGGTATTAGTTTATTCAGATCTGCAACAATGTAGTGTTTACAGTTCCTCCAGATGATAAACCTAAGTCTGAATATATGCCTGCACATGTCTGTTCTTACATTATCACTTTTCTGCACTTTTCTGCACATACCATCACAGACTTTTTCAAAGCTCCTACCACCAACTATGTTTTGGAAGCTTCTGTAGCAACTTCTTAAAAAGTATACTAACCATGCAAGAGTGGACTATGGGGAAACAAACACTAAAAGCTGGGCAAAGTTTTTACAGCTGCCTCACTACATTTTCCAACTCTTGGTACAAGTAAATAACACCAATATGTACAACATATCCTGGTTGAGTCAAGCAATGTTTTCAGTTGTTACTATGACACAAATCCTTTAGTTATATAGATAATATATACATGTATGTAACCGTAAAGAGGCACAAAAGCAAGCCAACATTTAAATCTTTCTACATTTACATGTCCATCCAAATGAACTTCATTTGATAAAGGGGAACACAGACTTACTGAACAACAATACTGAAGAGCTATTGCATTTAATGTGTCTCCTTCCTGTATATCCCTGGTTATGAATACAATATCATCCATCCTTTCTCTTGATGTGCTTCTTCGAACTTTCTCCTTTCCCCTGGGACGCAGTTCATAGATCTCCACTTCATCTTCCAACACATCACTGTCAGAACTGATACCATTCCCAAATGGGTATACATTGCTATCCACTGTAGGCTGCACAACAGCTGGGAGCTGGAAATTAAAATTCGGGCTTTTTCCTGTCATCCTGTCAGGAGAACTCTAACATGATAAGAAAAACAGTTCAATTAGTCTGAAGCAACTAATTTACATAATAATACAATATCTGACTAAGTTGCCATCAATTTAAACACTCAGTTCAGCTCCCTATTCTACACATAATCCTCTAAACCAGGGGTGGAAAGAAGGTACACTAGGTTCAACTGGTAAATCTTTGGCTCATCTTCTGTAGTTTCTGACTTTTACTGGTTTAATAATAATGGTAACAAAAAAAAATTCTTCTGAAATTAGGCTGTTAAAATCAAGAGAGCTTGGGGGATGGAGGGGAGAAACAGGAATAACTGTGTGCATAGAAGTATTTCTATGCAAGTTCCAGTTCCAATTCCAATTCTGAAATCAAATTCCTGAACTGAACATGTGCTCAGAGACAACTCATTCTGCAATTTTACACGTGACTTCTTCAGCCAATATTTTGCAATTGGCTCTGATTAGTGGATTTTGGGAGTCCAGTGAAAATAAGATAGAGCCTGCAAGCCTAAAGCCTGCCCATCCCTGCTTCAAACAACAAACTGACAATTTAGAGAGTGCAATACTTTAGAATCGAAGAGGGAGTGGAAGAAAAACAACAAAGCCAGGAAATACCATGCTGGGAAATAAAATCACAGAGCTAGCCAGTAACTTGAGTCCAAAGCAAATTATTTGAATTCTCTTTTAAACTTGGGGCCTATCAGCTTCAGCAAGTAGGTAGGCTTCCAGTAAATGGACTGGAATAGTCTCAAAAAAGAGGAATCTTTTTTGACTCTTAACTAGCCCCCATTAATGCAAAAACACCAGTATGCATTTATGATGATACACCTCATCTCTTCTTCACTATTAATCCTAAAGAGAACACAGGTTTTGGCCTAGGTTTAAATTGCACCTTTATCATAAACATTTTGGGGTGTTTTTCCAATGAAACATAACTGAAATAGACCACCAAAGGTGATTAACTTTTTGTGCTATCACTATAACCTTGAGAATGGGAAGGGAAAGTGGGAGAGAGAGCAGACAGTGCACCTGCTGAACATCTGGAAACCACAGTTTGAAACCAGAGGAGGCAGCGCAAGAAAGAAATCTAGACAAGCTGGGGCAATTTGGGTTGGACAGGCCGGAAGCTGCAGGGAGTTGTTGCTCAACACATCCAGAGAGGCACATGTTGAGGGAGGCGGACAGACAGGCGCTCCACAGGTAGTGATGGCGGCTGCTGCCTTCAGAGAAAGGCGGCGAAGGGCTGCAGAGAAGCAAAGCGGCTGGGCAGCACAGCCATAGCCTCGTATTTGCCTACCAAGCTCGGCTGCCCGCACCTTCCCGCCCGTGATCACCGTGAGGGGCACGGGAGGGCAAGGGCAGCACCAGAGGCTTCCCACGGCCCAGGCGCGCTCCCATCTCCGGGGCAATCGCTATCGCAATCGCCCCCCCCCCCCGCAACTTTCTAACTACATGGAAAGGGGCTCCTCGTTGTAACGCTGCCGCCGTCCCGGGACCTGATCTGGCGGGAACGAGGCAGAGATGCTTTCAGATCAACGAGCTGGGAGTGAGTCGGCCACGCTCCTCCCAGGGATGGAGCGGACCAGCCAGCCGCCGCTGGCGAAAGAGCGCGGCCGAGACGTCTTCTCCCGGGGCCGGGGCCGGGGCCGGGCCCGGGGCCGGGGCCGGGCCCTCGCGCTAAGCGTCCCGAAGCGGCGGAGGGCTTGCCCCGAAGCCGGTACCTGTCCCGCTCCAGGCCAGCGGCATGTCCACAGCCTCCCGCGAGGAGCACCTCAGCAAGCTCGACGCTGACAGGCCCGGCCCGGCCCAGGACGACGAAGCGGCGGCGACGCCACGTCTGCACATTGGCTCCACCCCTTCCCGCGCCCTTAAAGGGCCAACGAGCGGCTCCGCGGCTCTGCGCAGGCGCACGACGACTCGCTAGAGAAGGAGGTTCGCCTGTCGTCGACGCCAGGTCTGGAAAGAAAGTGGGCTTTAAAATACAGTACTAAAAATTGTAGCACTAATAAAAACAGCGCATGCGTTCTGCGATGCTTCAGTCATTCACTTGCCCCCCACCTCTTAGCGAGGAAGCTTCCTTGGTGACGCTTGCTTGTTTGCTTTTTAGGCAAAGCAAGCGGTCCACTCTGAATCAGTGGACTTAAATATTTTGTTTGGATGAGTGGCCTCCAAATGCATTATGGATTCCAAATAAAACCCAGATTATTAAACCATTCTGTGCAATGCGGAATCCCTGCAATGGTATGGCAAAAGCTCAGGGCCCACCAAAGCCGCTGAAAGAGCGGAAGCACCCTGCCGTGCTTCTTAACCTGCTTTCGAAGTGTATGTGGGCTGCAGGGGATCCAGTTGTCTTGTGTGTGTCTTCGTCCGTTCTCACCAAAGAGATGTAAAAGCGCCACCTGACCGGACTTGCTTGAAATTTATGTGTGAGATAAATACAGCTGAAAAGGCCGGGAAAGCAGGGGTGGGGAAGTGGAAACCTTGAGCCCGAGCACACTGCTCTGAACACTGTGCCTCATGGTAGGGCAAGCCTAAGCATTTTGCTGCCTAAGGCAAAGAAAGGAAGAGATGGAGTCCTTTTCCATGCCATGGACATTTCATAGACTGCAGTTGATTTTTTTTTTTTTTCAGCACTAGCACGGGGACAGCATCCTACCCCACATGTGAATGCCAATTTAGGTGGATAGAGCAGGCTCATTGGCAGAAAGTTCTCCAAGTCCTTCCTGGTGTAAAAGTAAGAAAGAAAGCACCAAGATAGTGTTGGGAAAATTCAGATAAACACTGGCAGGAAAAGGTTGCTTATATGTGCTGTTGTGTTATAAAAAATACCTGCATCCCTTTCTCAGAAAGCACCAGCATTTCAAGCCAGGTTACTGTTTAGTGCTGCTGTTACTTTAAGAAGATGGAATTCTTAACTGTGTTATGCAAAAAAGCAGCAAAAATACTTCTCAAGTTAAATAACCAAGACTACTATCAGAGTGAGGCGATTCCTTTGTTTATTGCAATAGATGGGGAGAGCCCACTCTATCAGACTCTCTCCAAAGCACAAACACACAAATCACCTCCTTTTGTACCCTAACTCGGCCGCCATAGCCCCCCCCCATTCCCTCATTGGACGAGGTACTAAGGGAGCACAGTCTTTCCATCCGCCTACTTCATATCTCCCATCTCATCCCACTACATACATCTACATACATCACATGTGCATTATACTTAGCCTATTGTCTATTCGAGGTATATGAGATAATATTCATCAGCCTGTTATGCCTGCATGGTCATAACTACAAGTTCACCAGTTCACTCCTTTCTGGCTTCACCTTGCCCTATGACCCCCTGTCTCATAAAACTACTGGGAGTATGAGATGGAAGGTAGCCTTCTTTCTTCAACCCAATTATCTTTTTCTCCCTTCCTCACTCCTTCGGACAGGCTTCATGGCTTGGTGGTTTGCCTCACTGTTTCTCAATCACTGAGTTACTTCCTTCAACTGGACTGAGCAACTGCTGTAGGCTATCAGTGAGGAAATACCTGTGTTCTCATCGGCTTTAGAAAAACTGAAACAATGGTGTCCATTTGCTTCTAAATGAACCCACTTAAGCATCCAGTCCCACAGAAGCAAGTGCCTGCACAGTGTAGTTGTCAAACCAGATTTCCTGAATGATTCCTCAGACACATTTGCATGTTTAAGCAGGATCCAAACTGCAAAGTCTACTGAACTGACATCCCAATAAAGCGATCAGTAATGTTTTCCATACTACTGTTACCAGTATTTCTGGTTTAGGTCATGCCTAAAGACATCAGGATGCTATTGTACTAACATTATGTGGAAACTTAACACTGTGTATTGGTCTATGTGATTAGCAGGTTATAAAAGTGTCTGTACATGGGCTGTGATTTTGTAGTTGGCGGTGAGAACCACTACCCAGTAGCATGTTGTCATATGTAACTGCAGGGGTCCTGGGTGATCTTTCAATAAAACTGCTGAGGTTCAAGGCAAAAGGGATCTTTCCTGACTGAACCCAATTATCCTGTCTCGCAGCAGCCATCAAGGCTTCTCAACAATAGCTAAGAAAATGCTTGCCTTGAAAGACCTCATGTGTCACATGGAAACTGTTAGTGACATTGTTCCTGGTACAGTATTATTGTGATCCTTTGCCCTGGCTCTGGCTTGGTTCTGCAGCAGTGGTGCTGAACCTCAGGTGTGGGAGCCATATCTGGCTCACCTGAAGTTCCAGTCCACACCTCCAGTGTTCCCAGATGGATGCACCCTCCCCCTAATTAACAATTGTTTGCTGGATTGTGCGTAGCTTTCTCTCCCATTCTAAAAAGTTGAAATGCCTCTCCTGAGGTATAGTTCCTGGTGGGAAAAGCTATAAGCTAAAATATGCTGCATTGGCATCACCCATCTTGCCTCATTCCCTGCTACCACTGGAATGTTGCCCCTGAGAGCTTCTCCGAAACGGACTTTGGCTCTTTGACTGAAAGAGATTCAACTCCCCTTTGCATATGCTTGTTTCTCAGCTGTTATGACTCAAGCAAAATCCTGTTGCACTGATTATCTGTCCCAAGACTGGGAGGCTTCCACACATCCTATGCACACCTGGATGTGTGTGTGGCACCTTCCTGTCTTCCCACTTTGCATTTTCACTAGACAAGGTGTTTTGAGCCCATCTAGTGATGCTTCAAACAGAGAGAGAGGAGGAGGCCTCAGCATAACTTGTATCTTGGCCACTGCAGTTTCCATCTCACCTACTGGAACGCTCCCTTCTCCTCTCCGACCTCAGTGAGCAGCCAGTGCCATTCTTTCCACACTTGCCAGGAGGTGGAGGGGAGTCAGATCCAGTTCCCGGCTTCAGGGTCAGAATGTTGTCTTCAGCATCAGATCTGGGCATCAGCAGCATCCTTTGTCCCCCTCAGCAGATATTCCCAGAGCTGATGGGATGCAACATGTATGTATGTATGTTGTTTTTGCCGTGTTTTCTACCACAGGAACAATGATGTGTTGAATTGATGGGATCAAGCTTTTAGTATAAATCCCTACCTTTGCTCATCACTGAATAACCACATCAGCCTCACATCACTTGGTTTAAGAAAACAGGGTCAATCTTTGGTAGTTCATGACAAGACTCCCAAGTTACACGAACATGCAAATACTTGTCATATTGATTGGTGCAATCTTCCCTTTCCCCTCTCATATTTCATGGGGAAGAATCACGCAAACAGGCCTCCATAAGGACCGACCATGACACAATACTGGGGCAAGGGAGAATTTATTCAGCCCGCAGGACGAATGGTCAGCATGGTAAAAACATGTATGAGCCCCAGGTTTCTATATAGGTCAGAATGGCTGCTTTCTAGGCAAAGCTTGAACCACAAGAAGGCATCTCTTCAAATTAACCAGCACACATGTCGTGTAAGTGTAACTGAAGATTTGATGGTGGGGCAGTAGTAGCCTTAGATGTGAAGTGGGCTTCAGTCACATAAATACCAAATAAAAGTTCATCCATTTGTTATAATGGGTGGATAAACTTGCTTGGAAATTGATTCTGGGTGCAAGAATAGTCATGCCAAGTTCTTTATTCAAACTGCTGTTTCCATTTGAAATGTATTTGATTTCATTGTTATTATTGTCCTCATCCCTAACTTTAAAAAAATGCATTTGGGTAACTTCTACCTTTCCTTCTCACTTCCGAGCGAGAGCGAGAGCAAGAGAGCTTTTTAAGCCAGAGGCTGCTCTGAAAAGCATCATGTACACTTACTATTATTCATAATAGCTGAGGTTGTTAGTTAACATTTGATTGTACTTCTTATAATAATTACTTCAACATGTTGCTTTATTTGCAGGAATCTGTAATTTACCCTGCCTTTCTCAGTGAAAAACATGTGGAGAAAAGAAACAGCTGATTTGCATGTAAGAATTACTAGGCCAGGGAAGAATGGCTAGCTCCTCATGGTATCTGCCATTGGCAGAAAAGCTTAGCAACTAGGGGGATATTTCATATTTTAGTGACATTAGGCTCTTGGCAAGGTAAACCTAAAATGTTTAAACTAAAAGAAGGTTGTTTCAGACAGTCATGAAAAAAGTGGCATTGCTAGTCGCTAGGAGACTGATGAGTCATCCCTCATTCATTGTGACTGAAAGATTGTTTTATAACGCAAGTCGAACCTGTGGGTAAAAATCAAGAGATGCTTGTAGACTACGCTGAGCAATTACTGCACAAAACTGGATGTTTATCATGCCACATATTTTTAGCAGAACATTCATTTTCAAATATTGGGTGATTTGGCGAGAGAGGTCAGTGCAAGGGAATTCCAGCGTTTCTTTCCTCTAGACAGAAATGGCACCCGATTTGGTCAAACACTCATGGCTAGAACTGCACACTTCCTCAGAGAAAACAAAGTATGGGGGATCTCTGTGACCCTGCTTCACTCCTTTTTGTAGCCATTTGTACCTAGTGACATTTTCCCATCAATATACAAAAGGGTATATTTCCAACTTGATGAACAGGACAGTAGTTGCACTATCGATGAATACTAATGAGAATGCAGCCTTTCTCCTTTCCTATGTAAATTACTTCACTTATCCTAATAGTGCATATTAAGTGAGTTAGCAGGGTCAGTATTAATCATTGCATGACACCTGTATGTGCCACTGCAGGAACTTGCTCGGCCCACTGGCCCTTCAGCATTATTTGTCTGCCTTATAGAACATCCATTCACAAATGAGAAGGGCCTTACACAATGCTAGTAGTATCTTCAGGGAAGAAAGGAGTTAAATAAATGGGAATATGGGAAAGTGCTGCCTTATAAGAGCA